AGCCGCATAAACTTGTGGAGAATTGTCGTTCTGGAATATGAACAACACCTGTAAGTAAGGCTGCATTGGGCTTCCATCCTCTTTGCTCAATTGTATTTTTTCCCTTTGTGATTATTACAATCAACCCCGACAAGAAATGCCCCATGAGCTCAGTCAATTGTGAGGAGCCCAGCTTGATACTGCATCATATTTCCTGTTACCGATTTAATTCTTTCCAATCCCTTATGCTCTTACTAAGCCCGATGTCTAATTGTACAACGAACTGATCGTCAGTACACCATATCACCAGACACCGTTTCAGTAAATCCGTTGTGTAAGTCCGCTTACACCACCTTCTAAGCCAGGTTCATGAAAGGCAAAGTATGAAGAATTGGTTCGAACAAAGTTCTATCTATGTCGGGATTCTGACAACAAGATGACTATCAACACACGTAAATATCACCCTTGAAGAGTCCACAGCGAAAGGGGAAAAACTGAGTTGATTGATTTTCGAGTTGTAGAAGCAAGTCTCTTCAAGACTTGCACGTATAAACGAAAAGAATCTGAACCGACCAGAGACTAATTCTTTGTTCCTCAAAAGATATTTCCTCAACAGATATATTCTTTGTTCCTAAGATATTTCATGCATGGGCTTGACGTAACTTGTTAACCCAAATAATTTGGAACGAAAAGGAACATAAAGGAGGCAACAAAAGTAGTATCTGAGTGTGCTCATTCAACTCATAGCTCATTCAACTGAGGTTGGTGGTGTGAGTTGATAAACAAAGCTTTTTGATTTAGCGATTCTGTTTTTTTTTTCTAAAATATTTTGAAATGTTGGTTTTATTGAAAAAATTGAACATTAAAAGATTCCAAATGTCCGGCGTGGTAGTGGGACTACCCACGCTTTCTTATTGATACAACCCTGCAAAAGATTGTGAAATATTCCACGGAGTAACAAAGAAATTTTTTTGATTGCCAACAGACGTTATCCTTGCTGTGAAGACATCTTCTTTGCGGCACTCAAGGAAGATTATTTTGGTACATGCATGTCCGAGGGCTCGTTGTTCGAGGCACAAAAGTAAGAAAAAAAACGCCATGAAGAGAGAGAGACTCATTCCACAAGAAACCAATTGACTCTTCATAACGTCACCAATGACCTGTGACTCAAGACGTTGGTTCTCCAAGTCTTGCCCTCGAGACAAAATTAAGCACGTGCTATCTGCTGGATAGATAGCTAGCGGCCTCTATTGGCATTCACAAGTTTTCATCCGCAAACCTATGCACCGAGAGGATGAGAAAGACTCCATCATGGCGTACGAGCCGTTTAGGCCCAATCATACCATGCCAGTTCAGTGGCAACTTCTTTTGATACTTGCTTGCAGATCGTAAACATATTGTCTATTAACTGGAAGAGGTCTGAAGTGGATTTAACACTTAAAAACTTTTTGATATAACACCACCTTGCGAGGAAGAAAATGAGGTGGTAAGGTTTGAAAATTACGGCTGATTTATTAATTTTACCATTTTTTCCCTCTTTGTACTTCTAACCGTATCTTGGATAGTGTGAATGCGTTAGCACTTGCATACAGCATGTGCTCATATACTTACATTTTATTCAGTGTAGAGTATAATTCATTTTAATCTGTATAATTCAAATGGACTAAACGTTCGAATGCGTTGCAGTTGGCTGCAGTAAAATACATCCATTGTTGATTCAAGTGATCGAAATATGATTTTACGACGTTCTAATTATTCCTTATACACGTGAAATAATTCTCTTAGACTGTATTATACATCTTTGGAGATATGTGACAACTGAAATTGAGTCACCCAAGTTATACGTTAGTAATATACGTGTCTTTTGACATGTCATGAACAAAATGTACAAAAATCTACCGTGCTAGACATTACTATTTTCTTTGTATTGTGTTATTGTAACACATCAGACACATTACAAGTTGCGATACTTTTGTTTTTGTTAAAACATATTTCGGTAAATCTACGTCATAATATAGTTATGTGACACCCAGGGGTGATCATAAGAGGGATCCCAAGATAAACACGTCAGGCTGAATTTCCCAGCAGAGCTTGGGGTAATAACCCTCTAACGTCTAACGTCTAATGTGGTCAGATCAACCCATGTCGGTCGTTTTAAAAGGCGCGTGGTTTTAACCTCGAATAGACTCTTTCGAGTCAGAAAGAGTCTCGGGGGTACGAGTCCATCGAAAATTACACGCTAGTATTCCACTAGACACAGTGGCAATCAGGTACGATTTAGCTGTACAATTTATTGACTTAGTGTGAACTAACAAAAGCACTCACATTTCCTCACTCAATTGGGGCGTCAATCATCCTTGTTCATCAATGTTCGTGAGGAAGTCACAGCGAAAAAACCTGCACTCGCAAAAGATAGAAATTGTAGCATGCAACAATTTTTGGTTCAGCCGCAATCTTGAAGATCGCAAAAGATGGAATTTGTAGCATGCAAAGTTTTTTGGTTCAGCCGCAATCTTGAAAAGGTTTGTAACTGCTGAGCTTGAGGACACGAGTGGCTCTGCTTTTGTCTCCAACTGGCCAAAAGCTTTAAAGAACTGTTTCCTTATATTGAAATTCAATTTCGAAGTATTTGTACAATGCAATTCTATCAGATTCTCATCATGCGATTGGTAGGAACAATCTCACGTGGTGAAAAAAGATCGTCAATGTCTTTAAGAAATGTCTTTTGTCTTTTCACCAAACAGCGACTCCTTTGCACCAGTGCATCACCTACAGAGTGAATATACAAGAAAGAAATCCTGAAATAACCAATGCTTTTGATCTGTCTGCACCAATAAAGTGAGGAAAAGAGAGTGCTCTTGTCAGTTCATCCAGTGTAACCGACGACACTAGCATCAATCACCTTGTTAGAAATGAAATATCCAAAACGGAATACAGAGTAATGTCACCTAAAATCCCGAAATAACCCAATGCTTGATTCATGGTTTTGATAATCTTGCGATAGCTAAAACTATCGTCGATGATTCATAAGGCAAAGAATAAACTTGTTGAGTCTGACTGCTTACAGATCAGACAATCCCACTTCATTTACAAACGACTCCTTTCTACTCCAAATAATCTAGCTCGTGACATTCTGACATGTTGCGTGCGCGTATGGTTTGTCTATGCCAGTGCTTGCAAAGGGTTTGATATTATGGGACATCACCTCTCGTACTGTCTCCGGCCACTGCTTCGCTATATGCATGCAACATCTTTTGAAGATGTTTGACAAAGAGCAGTTGGCACCACTGGCATGAATATACCATTGTCGTGCTGATGTTTAGGACATCGGTGGGTGAATTTATGGATATCTTACCGATAATCCATTGAAAGTTTAGTCGAAATCAAACGAGACGTCGCCTGCAGTTTCTCCAGAATGAAGCCTTATCACATACAGCTGGACAATCTTTTACATTTTACTCGATCTTATACGATTCTGATAACCTGTATGTCGTGCAGTTCGTAGGCCGCGAGTCCTGTCATATGCATCAACATTGCCCACCAAAAAACAACACGCAGTTGGGGAGTCGTCCCGAAGGAATTGTACCGAGGTGTGGCAAATAAACAGCCGAAGGTATCGTCAGGAACCCGAAGGGTGAAAAGTACTTGGAACTAATGAAGTTTGAGAATCAATAAATTCTATGATCGCAATCGGAAACGGCTTTCAAGTGTGCAAGGGGTCAGTTCTAGTGTGTCACTTTGATATCTCTAGGTGGCCTTTGCCAGCACGGTGGCAACCCTCATTCCTTCTTGTGCACTTGAAACCTGGTTCATATTCAACATTCGAGGACTTCCACCTACTTATCATGACAATGAGTATTGCAGAGTGCACATTACAAAACAGCAGCTCAGTTCGAGAACTGGCTCTTAGTGAACTGAGCCATTTATCATATGTCTCATGCATACATCCCGGAAACTTGTCATCAACATTAATTACTACCTTCTAAAATCTATGTCTTCTATCGCTTCTCCTAGTGAGCTCAGGATAACCGTACAATATTGGATTTTGATCTTGATGGATTGCATGACATCTACAGGTATCCCAAATGCTTTCTCTTGTCAGACTGATGGGAATTTATTATTCAGGAACCCAGGTTCTTTTAGGATCAAACTTTGAAAGGCAAGGTTTTGCAGAATTTATAATCTCCTATCATAATAGTTTCACGAGATTAGAGTACAAAGTTGTAAAATTTGAGTAAAAAAATTCGTCCTTCTTCACAGAGGTGTGTCTTACTGACGCCTGTAAAATTTTCAGAATCAGAAAGAGCAGGTGGCTGGTTACATAAGAGCAGGAATTTTGTTCATTCATAAACACATCGTATCAAGACCATGAAATTGAAGTAAGAAGACATTCACGTGGACGGAAGACATTTGAAAGCTCTAAACAGAAAAAAATAAGAATTGCTCTAAATCTGTCTTTAATATGTGATCTGGTGCAAGCATCGTGTATGGAACCCCATCTGACACAAAAGGGTCAGATATCAGAGCCAACTAGGTCTTACATTGTACTTCTTCAGCTAGGCTACCGGTGATCGTAGTACCAAATATTGCCGATCTATGTGGCGAAAATTCTTTTCATCCAAGTCAAGCTCCTGTTTATGTTTAAGAAATATAAAACTAATCATGCTCTAATTTCTACATACAAAAATAATTTCAGTATCAAACTTTAAATATTCATCGATTTTCTGAAGATAAACTCCCTCATGAATCTGCTATTGCAAATGAAAATTCCTAAATCAAACAAATTTACAAATCAAACATAAATATGGGTACATTCCAATGAAAAAATGATGAATTATGACTCTTAAAATATATAACTTGTTAGTTAAACAATAACTCTTATCGAATCCAGAAAAAATTACATATATGAACATGAATTAAACCTGTGTTATATGAACTACAAAAATGAATGCACACATCAAAAAATCGAAACCTGCTCTTATTGGACAAATCCAAATTTTAGATGAATTTACATATTGCATGCAGATACAAATTAATACTAAAGAATGCAATTAGATTCACGCGGCTGCAAACATACATCATCTTTACTTTACTTTCATAATGGTGATGTTAACGTGATGCTGGGATTTTTTAAACTGCATTGTAAACAAAATGAAGCGAATGGTATGCCTCGTTAACAAGCTTTCAGAAGATGTGGAGATCAAATGAACTGGTCTATATCTCATTCCATTTGAATACGAGAGTCCAAGTCTTGGAATCTTTGTACAAGTAAAATCCAGACTCACGAACTTTCCACCGACAACGATCGCAGCTCTCAAGGTACGGTGATGATCCATTCTTATTCCACACCAAAAACTCTTGTGCCATTTTGACCGCACTCAAAGTGCCGTCATACCAATTAAAGTCACAACTCCAGCCGTCGCTCACTCGCTCATCCGCATAGAAATCGTGAAGAAGAACATCAGATGGGTACAATACCACTTCCTGCAAGTCAAGACCTGGCCTCTTGCACCGAACTCCAACACTATCAGGGCTCCTTTCAGGCATCGTATTCTTGATTTCAAACCTTCCGTAACCTTCTTGTAATCTTGCATCTGCCTTTGAACACGCTATAAGCACCAAAAGCGCGAAGAATTTACTGACCTCCATCGCCAGTACTTGACTGATAATGGCTACAGATCAAGATCACAAACCTTCGACGACGGTGTAATCAGACAACTTCTTCAAAACATTTCTTCATACTTCAAACAATCACAGCTCTACTTCCACGTCACAACCTTCCGATGCAGCTATCCTTAACTTCCCATTCTTGACGCACACTCTCCAAGTCCAGCTCGTTCAAAGTGAATGGCCGTCTCCCGTATCAGGAGTTTCTGAAGTGAACTTGACCAAATTCTGCTCGACGAGAAATGATGCGGGAAAGCCCCACCGACCGACAACAGAGGACGAGAAATCCGAGCACTAGACAGACAGAGGAGCGAGGTCGAGCTGCCTGCCTATCAGAAGAAGTCTCGGCAGACTGTCCTCCGATCCGAGGCTCGTGGCACTGAACTTCGAATGACGCGGACGAAGGGTTGCAGCTCGACCGCTGAATTATTTAGATTTCGAAGTTGACCGATGACGGCTGAGTGGCTGGACCCGCGAAGCCAAGAGGCCATCGGAACTCGACTTGTAACGACTGTCGAGCAAGAGGAGCGGCGGCGGCGGCTTCTTCGAGCTCCGCCTTCAGGAAGTATGCCCCGATGAATGGAAACGCTGTACGCATCCGGGGCAACTGTGGCCGTTATTTTTGTAACCGATATATCCAACTCATGCACCCAACTGTGAGTTCTTTCTCAACTGTGAGTCGCGAGCAGAAAATAGATTAGCAAGTGACTTCTTGTGGTTGCCTCTTGTACCCATACCCTAGTGATTGCGTTACAAATGAATGATATAAATCAACAAAAGGAGTAAAGCATGAGAATTTTACGTTGAAAACCAACATAACCTGGTTTATTGTCATCATAATAAAATTGTGCTTAATTCTGAAACTTTTCGTGCATCACAAGAATTATCGAATAATTTGTTTCAAATGAAATCAACTGTTCTTGTTCATCCTGATTATTAAACATGTACCCATGCAACCCATCAAAGTTAAAAGTCTCTTCATACACCCCAAAAATTGTTAACTAACTTGGATCATATGAAATTGATTGCAAAAATTAATTTTCTAAATAAAACAAAGTATACACATAGTCTACGATAGAAAAATGATCAAATGGATAACAAATTTGATGGCTAAATTATAATTTACAAATTGTTACATTTTCTCACTAAAGTGAAAAAAAAAATGTCTATTTTCATATTTTTCAAAACTAGATGGATCAGCCTTGACCTCTTTCCTGCTTGTAGATCTTGTTATTTTTTCTCTGATCTCCACTTGAACAAAATTGTTTAATCAAATGCTTCCATGTTCACTATTTTAAATTTTTATTTATGACAGCAGAGCATTCCAAACCAGATATGACTCTGATAGAATTCTACTGCATTGCAAAATATATGAACCTTGATTACATGTGAGTTTACCCCTCAATCAATCCAAGAGGAGGGATGATGCAATATCTCGGTTTAGAATTGAGAAGTGACCCAACTTATCCATGTATATTGACCATTTCCACGATCTCTAAAATGACTTCTGACCAAGACTCAGACTCAATCCACGTACTCATAAAAAAATGATAGGGGCACTATTGGATGTGGATAACAAAAATATTTAATGCAATCTAGTTTACATTAAGTATTTTAGCTAAATTAACCTATACTGCCATTAGATTTCACCAATAATCAGAAGTAAAACAATAAGTATGTACTGTAAATTCCATAATCTACTCAAGAACTCTCGATTTTTTGAGCTCTTTATTTTGCATGAGATCCAAAAATTTATATGTAGGACATTTTGTTTGTTCTTCAAAGCCAATAATTCATTCTATCAAATCTCTACGACTCTTTTCAATTGTACTATGAACCCACTGTGAATCTAAAAACAGTAAAAAAAATTAAAATGATATGATCAATTATTAATCTCAAATTGAGTGTTTGATAGGAAAGATAAGTCTTAAAAAAAAAAAAATTTGTGATCAAAGATAATTATGATATTTTATCATGAAATAAAAAAATCAAGAAAACTGGTTTTATTTTAATTTAAGATATCATGAGAATAATAAAAGAATTCCACATTCACTTAGAATTTTATTTTTTAAATTATAGTGTAAGAATAAAAAAAATTTGAAAAAAATATTATAACTTTACATAAATTTAGTTATATCTATTGCAATATAGGCATAAATTGCATATTTCTTGAAACTTCAAGAATAAATTGGATATGTTTGATAATATATAATCAAATAATATATCAATCAGTAAAATATCAAAAAATTATATTAAAAATAAGAGAATATCATTAATAATTGATAAAAAAAAATTATTCATAGAAATTTTTTTGAAATTAAGTTCATATAATCTCTGAATAGGTTCAAAATCGATATAAAATATTTTAAGATATTTGTAATTAGAAATAATTTTTAAAATGTCAGTATTTTTTTATAAATGGAAGGACTATAAAAAATTATAAATTTATTTTTAAGTTGAAAATTATAGATATTAGAATTATCTTCAGAACGTATAAAAAGCATATAATCGGAAAAATTTGGAGCAGACAAAAAATTCATAAAATCTTTTAAGCTTGTTTATCTATCATCCATACTACTATGTAATTAAAAACCATAACGCGTTTTTATTGAAAGACAAGGATATTGAACGGAGTGCGAGAAATGAAACTCAACATCTACAAACCCAAAAGCATCAGCTGGTTTGATATTATTTGTTGAGGTTAACTCCAGTTAAGGAGTAAATTTGGACCTAGCTATTAGTAGCTAGGATGGTTGTCTAGACTGAGAATAAATACCTTGGGTTTCACCTTGTACATGGAGTCTTTCTGACAAAACCTGGAGTAAAGTGCTAAGAATTCTGGGTGGACGTAGCCCTCTTCTTGAGATTGAACCACGTTATTTCTTTGTTGTTGTGTCTCTCTAAGGTTTTACACGTAAAATTGGTATCAGAGCCGGTTTTTTATTCAGAATTTATGATAGGTCTGCTCACAATCAAAGTTATTTCATGTTTATGAAATAATGTCGCGGGCTTTGTATGGTTGCAGGCAACAGTCATGGACACAATAAATCGTGGGCGACGATGAGCCGCGGTCGCAACAAGGCGACTGTAAGACGCGACAACAAGACAACAAGACGCGGTAAATCGCGGGTGACGGTGAAAGATAGTTGTGGGCAATTGTTGCGAGCGATAATAAGTTGCGAACAACAGTCACGTGCAACGTTTGTTGCAGGCGAAGCTCGCAAACGCACTGAGTCGCGAGCAACTATGAGAGATTGTCATGGATGTTTGTTAGTCGCGGACGATGATATCGGTCAATCGCGGGCGATGTAAATCGCGAGCGTATTCACTCGCAGGTGACAGTAACGGCTAATCGCAAGCAATATTTAGTTGTGGGCGATGGTGAACAATAGTCACGGGTGATTGTTATTGCGGCCTGTAAGACCGGGTGTTACACATATGTACTAAGTCCTAGAAGTGGTCAAGTGAAGTCAAAGGATGATTAGCCAAGGTATAGCTAAATCTAGCTAGTTATGACTAAAGTAGTTAGTTATAACTAAATTTATCTAGTCATGACTAAGTTTAACTACAATGTCTATAGTTGGCGGAATATTTAGCGGAGTTCTAGAAGAGTGAAGTGAACACTTCTATTTTGTCTTTTAAAAGGAGTGAGCACTTCTATTTTGTTTTTTCCAAAGGTCTAGATTCCAATGGATTAGATATTTGACTAGAAGCTTGGATTTGATTGGTTTGACCAAATGTATGAAAGATGATTGGCAAGACTAAGTCTAATGTTAACTTAGTGGCTAAGAAACTTGTAGAAGTTTCAAAGCATCCAATGACATGTCGCCACCTCAACCTTGGATTCCGGAAACTTCTAGAAACTTTAGCTAGATCAATGGCATGTTGCCAAGTATTGTGGATTATTCAAATTTACCTAGGTAAAAGTACGTTAGGAGAAATTACCACATGTTACTATGGTAATTTCTCAAGTAGTATAAATAGAAAGGTAGAGTAGCACCTCTAAAGCAAGTTTGAAGAGTCATGTGTGAGTACTTGTTTCCGGAATGAAGAAGTGAAGTTTTTGAGCATCTTGGAGTATCGACGTGTGTTTGAGTTTATGTGAATAGAGTGATGTGAGAAGAGTTTGTGTGTGAGTTAGAGTGATACATGGAGAGTTTGTGAGAGAATATGTTTGGGATATGAGTGTGAGGATGAATCCTAGTCTTCTAGAACCATGATGCGCTACCGCAAAGCCATCTGAGTTAAACCTAAGTGAGAGTCAGCCCGGAGGTTGTAAGCCGTAGTTAGTCGCGGACAACGGTGAGGGATAGTCACGGTTGACAGTTAGTTGCGGACAATGGTGAAAGATCGTTAGGGATGAGAGCGAGTAGATTTTAAGCTCTTGCTCAAAGATGTGTGTCTTTCAATGAACCCATATCATTAAAAAAAGGTGTGTGTGTTTTCAATGAGCCTAGTTAATTCAAACAGGAGAAGATTTTATTTTTTTTCATAATCTTTTTATTGACAAGTGAAAATTTCTGCTCACGACTATGGATGTGATGGAGTTTGATCATTATGTGATTATTGATCAAGAATGAGCACCGGTACTGGTAGAGTTCTTGAGGTGATGATTGAGCTAATCAAGATTAACAATAAACTCAATTCAGCTGATATGTTGACCAAAGTTATTATTTTGAAGAGTTTCAGACGACACTGTGCTACAATGCAAATTGTGCATGGGAATCGTGGGTAAAGTTTGCTAACATAGTATCTCCAATTATTTTTTTATTTATTTACTCTATCATGTGATAGTTACGGCTTACTTATAGTTAACTTTCGTGTAAAAAGTAGCCTTGTATTAGGTTTCTTTCTAGAGCTTCTCGCGGAGTAATTATATAAGTTACGAGATTTCTTTTATCTCAATGCTAGCTTGTTTTTAGTTAACTCTTTATGTTACTACTATGGCATGTTATGAATACGGCTTAGTTCAATTTAAACTCTTGTGTGAAGAGGGTGCCTTATGTTAGTTTTCTATCTACAACTTACCACGAAGTAATAATATATTTCATAGAGCTTACCGTTCCTTAACGTGAGTTAAGGGGGAGATTGTTGTGGTTAACTCCAATTAAGTAATAACCTTAGATCCTAGCTATTTATAGCTAGAACAGTCCTCTGGACTAGGGATAAATACCTCGGGGTTCGCCCTATACATGGAGTCTTTCTCACAAGACCTGGAGTAAAATGCTGAGACATTTGGATAGATGTAGCACTCTTCCAAGGGATGAATCATGTTATTTCTTTGTCGTTGTGTCTCTCTTGGAATTTAAACGTACATAATTCAAATCTGTTGTTAACTATGCTCCACCCAAATCTAACCACGGTAGTACAAGCGTAGAAAAGTGAAAAAAGATATTTACATGATTTATTTCAATGAATACATGTATATTTCAAAAAAACATCATTGCTGTAAATTAATATATATGTACGTTGTACTAATAATTCTAAAATAATATGAGAACTAAGAATTTAATCATAAAATAAATCTGATCTGAAAACTCTAATTTTTTTCAATATTAAATAAACTCCTTTTAGATCTTTTTAATGAAATTTTTGCACATATGTTCCCGTTATAAAAAATCAAATATGCATAATATGAACTTTTTTTTGGTTGAACAGCGTGACTTGGTTCTATCAACCAACAAAAAATTCAGTTTCAAAAACTAGAGAATTTTTTTTGTTGCATAATTTAAACTCAAAATCATTTTAGAAATTTTTTGGTTTTATCATACAATAATCATCACTGTATGTAGTGAATGAAAATAGCTCGCTGTTTTTTTTCACTAATTATTTTATTTTTATCTTTCACTGATTGCAACGGTTTTATCTTTCATAGATTTTTGATTTCTATGTTCAATTTTTCTACTAATCTGTTCACTTTTATTTTTAGAACTAAAGATTAGATAAAAAATATCAGTTTTATAACTTCATGAAACCATCCTTTTCAGTCACTCACGTCAATATGGCATCTATTAAATTTCCGATCTAAAGTCAAAGATCAATTCTGAGCTATGCTATTTGTCCACATTGAGAGAGTTTGAGCTTTTCGGTTGTATCTATATTTACATGTTCATCATAGCGGATGTATGTGTATGTACATTCATGATGATAGACAAGAGAAGCCACGGTGTCAACAATTTGTGTGTAGTATTTTTATTTGGTCTTTGTACATAGTACTTGCTGAATCAATATTTGTGTCAGAGAAATCAATCTCTGAAGTGAATGTATGTCAAGTAGTTGCATAGATTACTCGGACTGAAGATGACTCGTGTGGTTGTGATCTCAGTTACTATCCGTGGGTTTTCAGCGACATTATAATGTGATCAGGTACTTCTAACCTGATATATTATAGTCATACCAACAACAACAACTGTGGAGATAGCTTTATCTTGTTATCATAAAAAACTGATGTTGTCAAATTTTCTATAACAGTCATTTCATAACAAAAGAAGGAGGTTTGTGGAGAAATCCACTCGTGAATATGGGGCCATTAAATGATCATGAAAGTGGCTTGATCGAAAGAGTGCATCCCATGTCTGTGCGGTGCAACTTAGTGGAGTCGAGGGATTGTAAGGTGTTGTATAAAATGTTATGTATCTCTTTTAGCGATAGGCGTGGTATGCAGAAACTGGGTGCTATGCATGCAGCGCTCTGGGAGCTGTAGGATTCCTCGTGTCAAGGAGCGTCATTTCGGCTCATTGGCTGTGGGTTTACTGCCTTAGAGATGGATCATGTGTAGCATGAAATAGTTGTGAACAAATAGCAGAAAGATGGTTATGAAACCAGACATCCTACCAACATCATGTACTGAATCTGAAGCAAATCTGTCCCAAACTTTCATGTCAGTGCAAGGGGGGCACCTTCGACGGCTGTGGACCTGATTAATCCCTACCTCCCGTGCCTTTTTCGGGACCTCACATGCATGCGCTTGGAGTATGCTTTCCTACGGGGAATTCGGGGGTTACAAGAATCACAAGGACATTGGGTTTTGGACAGGCACTCGGTAGCCCGAAACGAAGACAAATCAAATCCAGTTTCGACCGGGAGGAAGCGACCTGCGTGATTAGAAATGGAATCTGTCGACACAATGTTACTGTGCAACTTCTTCGTTATCGACTTGACCAGAACTGTGGGATACTGTGTAAGTTCAAGTACTCACATGGATGTCAGAGACTTTCAGAAGATCAGCTGGCAGTTGCTCTGCGACATACTCTTCAAGCGTCATGCTTGTTTAGAAACTTGAACCATTTCGTGCTTGGACACCCTGCGACCAGGCCAATTTAGGAAAGTCGAGAAGGTTTATAACAGTTGAATCGGAATCTAAGGACGACCAGAGATGTTTGCTTCAGCTCATCGTGCGTGTAACGACGGGCCCGGCGTAGATTTGTAGTGGTTGTACCCGACTGTGTAAAAGCAAAGGCAAAGGGCGATATCGTACTCTGCTACTCTAGGGGTTTTTGAAGGGTTTAGGGTTTGTGAAGAACGTGGTGGCAGACATTTATGATCCCTTCAAGTTAAATTAGAAATAGGAGGAAGATTTGTAGGACTTACGATGTACAAAATGTATAAATGTACTGCTTTCACGCTACGTAAAGTTCAGTGCAGGTTTCAATTCTTGAACTGTACATTGAACAATTTCTGGTGGTCCTTCAGAAACTGAACTTTGAGAAGGATGATGGTGTGTTGAAGAAGGTCGACAGGACGGATCAATTTCAAGGCTTTGAACCCACCGGGGTTAAATTGAGGTCAGTATCATCAGACATTCTTCTCACTTACAAACATATTTTCTTTGACAATTTGGAGTCGCTTTCTATGCAGTCACTACGTTTGCGTTCTCAACTTTCCGGATTATGGATTTCTTACGAAATCAAGTCGAGGTCTACTTTGTAGTGACAACCTGAATTTAACTACGGGATTTCTCAACTCATATGCATTCACTTGCGAGAATGCCACCTTCTTTAGAACCAATGTAGAACTGAAGTGAGCCCCATGGCGGGCGACTGTTATATGAGCTAGACAATGCTCGTGTCTTGGTGTGTACATTGCGAGGGACTGTGTAAATAGAAATAGGTGAGTCGTTTAATTCTACAGAATTCAGTCGCATTCCTGTTTCTTCTCCAGCTGAGGTCTTGTAGTTGCCTCATCCTCTGTATCGAACTCCATTCTTCCCGAGTCATTTAGCCTCTCTGTATTCGTGTTATTAGCGAAGACACTGTTGGTTTCAATTTTGCGAGGTAGTTCTTTTATGAACCCATCCGGTGATGTAACTAGTGTCTTGAAAAAGGAGGCCAGCATAATTTGGAAGGGAAAGAGGAAATGCAGCCCTATAGCTTTGTCTGAAATACTGAGTTCATCAAATCTCCTCTACAACATATTTGACTCACTTGAACATGTTTATGTTCTGTGGCACCAACGCTGATTGCAGTCGACAGCATCATAGACGACACTGATATCGGATGAGGCGTCTCTCAAGAAATTTTTTTGGATCCGCTTGAAGGTTGAGTCGGACAGAGGGCCAGTTAGGCCGAAAACTCAAGAGACATGTCATCATGGTGTCAGGTCTGCGGCAGCGCAGACATGACAACTGGAGTGGATGGTTCTTACTTTTGCCAAAGCTGTGGTGCCCAGAATGAGAATTACATCGAGGAGGCCTTTGATAATGATGATGCTCATGTCTTCACTGCTCGATTCGTAAGAGAGACTCGAGTGGGAGCATCTCAGAATGAGGAACAAGTAAAGTCACAGATTCCACCGGAGATTTTCGCAGGATCACAAGCATTCATTTCCCAACCGCCTCCTGGACTCGCAAGTCAGTCTCCTCTTGGTGATGTGTACGGATCTGTCTATGGGATTGGATCTGGAGCGGGATCCGGAGCTGGGCCTTCTCAGGCTTCCCAACTGCTAAGCTCTCAATTCGGTCTGGCTTCACAGAAGTCACAGAGACAGCAGCCAATAGATAAAGAAACGTTGTCCAATAGTATTAGAAAGTCCTATGTCGAGGGCATTCAGAAAATTTTGTTTCTTCAGTGCGAGGCTTTAGTGAAGGAGTTCGACGTAACTCCCTTAATTTGTGGAATAGTGGGGCCAATCTGGTTAAGATACCTGGCTTCCACTCGAGTGTTTGAGGAAGCATGGGCAGATGAAGCCCTCGAAGTTGCTGAAGATCGTGAGAGTAAGCGCAAGGGTTCTCGGCGTCGAGTTTTCAAAGGTGGCTTAATTCTTACCATCGAGTATGAGGCATAGGGTGAGATAGGTGTTTTATCTGAGCTTTTGTTGTGAGCAAAAGTCCGAATTTCATTCAGTATTTTCTGTTAATCATGTGGTATTTGTATCTAGAGGTCAGTTGTATGGAAACATATTTCTCCTTAATGACACATCCATCCTCTAATCCAAATACTCAATCATACCATTTTGAGCATAGACATAGTATGATCACAGTGACTAATAAAGCTTTCTTCACTACTCAGAGAATGAAGCTGATCCAGAACCAGAAGTACCTGAGGAGTCAATGGTTTTGGAGAGAGGGGTCCTTCGGCCTAAAAAACCTCGAAAGCGGAGACAGCGAAGGAGGAAAGGTGGAATCGAGCCACGTACAACCTTTGGCAGGAAGGCCCGATTTGTATGGCTTAGTGCACTGAAGGAGAGAATTCCTCTTTCCATAACTTTGGCCTTCTGTTATTTGGCTTGTTATATCGCTAGAGAGAGTGTTTTTCCGACAGATATAAGACTTTGGGCTTTGAAAGGGAAGTTGCCTTTTCTGGCTGCTTATTTGGAGGTTTCAAAACCCAGTGCGAACCACATCCCCAACACTGTAGGCGGCTTACAGGTGTGCCACCTTTGCAACCGATTCGTACATGAATTAAAGCATAAAACTTTGTGAGTTAAGCCTGCTCACTCTGTCTTCAATATCTCGGAATGTTCTCATCAATTATTGTACTCTGTGCTGTGCAATGTTCAGTTAGTTGGATGTTAAAGGACCAAGTCTTTAGGCCTGCAGCATATTTAGACTGTGTTTATCATGGTATATCTGGTCATATCTCATTACTGTCTCCTCCGTACTTAAGCTTGACCCGTGTCATTTCCCTGATTTGGCAGACGTTTCCTATAGAACCAAAGACAATGTTCAAGCCAGGAAATGTGGTCGGAGCAAGAGCAGTCGAACTTCTTGCGGGACACATTGCAGAGAGAATAGGTCTTCAACTTTCTCCTGTCAATTACCATGCACTGAGTGCTCGACTTTTGCATGCAATGAAGCTTCCTGTGGAGAAACTCTCTGTATATACACATCGGATTTACGAGTGGTATTGCCCTGCAGGGCTATGGCTCACTTCTAAAGAGAGTGCCTTGCCCACCAGAGTATACGTTATGGCAATGATCATCATTGTACTTAAGGTGCTGTATAAGCTTGATGGTCGCATCGAGAATCCGATTTCTGACAGCGAAGCAGCACCAAATGCAATGAACGGAGAGACCTTTTTTAACAACAGAGATAGTCAGGGAGCAGGTAATGATTCTCCGGACGACAAGGAAGTCGATTCGGATGGAGGATATTATTCCGAGGCGGATGTCACCTCTCAAAGGAAAAAAAAGAATGGCATGGACGAGAAAGACATAAATTCAGTTGCAGATTTGGCATCAGGGAAAGCCAACGAACTTGAGGAGGTCTGGGATGTGAAGAAACTCATAATGTGTATGAAGAAGATGAAGCCCTTTCGAAATAAAATAAATGAAAGTAAGCCATAATTACACCTGCGACTTTCAAGTTGAAAATGCAGACAGGTTATGATAGAACTACACTGTTAAGATGATGCAGTTTCATAGTTTGCTCATTGAGGTGTTGCTTACAAAGTTCGCGGTCCGTGAGTCCACCTGAGGCTTCAAAATAGGCCACCAGCACGCAGGCTGATCTGAAATGTTTAGAGTCCAAGAAGCTCTTATGGAGGTCTATTAGTTGCAAGGAGATTGCTGTGTTAGTGAAGACTTTGCAGTAGTGGGTGTTAGTCATGTAACCCTGATCACAATCTTCGAGAGGTTCATGAATTTTGTAATAGGTGCGCCTCTTATCACCGATGGCTGTTATGTATATCGCATCTTGCGATTAGAATCACTTTCTTACAGAAGAATGTTTGCTCGTGTCAGTATTGTATGTAATCCATGTACTGCATGATGTGTGTTATGGCAGTGGGAGACCCAGAGAGAAAGCTAGCATCGTACCTGAATTACTGTCGTGAAGTCATCTATCCCGGGCCAGCCTCGGATGCCGACGAGGAAGCTATGCGGGATCACTTCTGGAAAGTTTATGAGAAGGCAAATGAGGTCCTTCCTGACCCAACACATTTCTCTCTTTTCTTGTTTTGTGTAATACTTTCACCTATCTTAACCTGTCCGCCCTCACTGCTTGACAAAAATCGAACTGAATTGATACTGGAAGTTCTGAAACCTCTATATGAGGACTTGCCAGCTTTATCTAATAATCTTATGTTCGGTTCAGGCAACAGCAAACAAACAGCCAGGTGAAGCCGAGAACAATTTACGAAGTGCAATGAACGCTGGGGAAGATTTAGAAGGTAATTTAGGTGACAATGTCGACGTGGAAGGCAGAAATGACAACTTAAGGTACCCAGCACGGACGTATGGCAGTGTGGGAAGTGTCGCAGGTGCGCGAAATAAGTATCAGTCTAGGATGACATTAAATGATGGACATTTTAGAGATGATGGTGTTGGGCCAAAACCCTCGGGGGAAGCCAAGGAGGGACAGTATGATGCAATAGATCGTGATAAAGTCCAAGGTAGCGACTCCGAAATGGTAGATCAATACGCTTCAGAGGACAATGGGAGCTTTGTACGAAAACGAGAATTGCAGACTTTGATGAAGGAGATGAAGAAGCTTGGATTTTCCTGTCTACAACCCATGAGGAAGGATAGACTCCCAGAGAATGTGTACCTTAGATATAAGATCCAAGTGTCAGATAAAGATCTGAGACCTGTTCATGAAGAGTACTATATCGTTCTTCGAGTTTGTGCGAAATTAATAAAGGTGCACCCGAAAGCTCTTCACTGGGGTGTACAAAAGGTGGAGCAAGGATTAATGGAGATAGAGAGAAACACGAGACAGTTTATGCTGGACCAAGGAGGTCATGTTGCAAAACTTTATAAGCAAAATTTTGGAGAGAGGACTGAGTATAGGGAAAGGGATAGAGGTGGAGAATACGCGAAGAAGAAACAAAAGTTGATTCTGGCTCAGTACCGGGTGGACCAAGGCTTGGCATCAGAGAAGGATTACACAGAGTTGATACTTCACGCAGATTACCTTTAATTGGACGGAAAATCTGGCGGGGGAGAAGTTTTGACGAGGACTTTTGCTTGTGGTTTAGTGTCATCTTGAGGCGACGAGGTACGTGTACATTATACAGAGAAGTAGGCTAGAAATTGAAATTCGTCTTTGTTGGATACCAGTGTTTCTTTTGCTTATACTGAAGCGGCTTATACCTTGTTCAAGCCGGCTTGCTGACATCAGATTAATAGGTGCATGCCTTGGCAATCTCATGTCAGCTGGCTTACGTAAGTCACGCAGGTAACAATTTGCTTTCCTAAATGGATGTGGATACAGTCCAAATCGCAGCCTCATGTTTTTTGTGGCTGGGATTAATCAAGCGTAAACAAGGCTGTAAACTTTGTCGAGAATTTAGGACAATTCTCACATAATTGGCATTAGGGTACTCTGAAGAGAAACTTGAACAAAGTGCAGTAGCTATACAGACCACTTCCCGTTTTCCCCTACTTGAGGGTGTTCTTTACGGAGGTAAGAACTGAAAAACAAGTCTCTTCAGGACGAGGACTGAATTGAGCTGGCCATTCAGTTATCTTCCATTCTAAATTGTTTCGGAGCCTTCTTGGAGCGTTTGCCGTCTGTTTTTCTCACTGTCTGTGATTCCTCCCTTCCTCCTTGTGATGAACCGATCTAGTGCTGCGAGGGGTATTAAACCTATCACTTATTGGTCCATCCATCGTGCTCTGAATCTGATATATGATGTGTTTGATCAGTTGCCTACTGATTGTAGCGGGTCAAACGAAAGGAATCTCTGTCATCTGAGACCCGAAATAAGTATCATACGCACTGGTGGTTCATTGCAGGATCTCAGATTTCAGGGGTGTTTATTCGATACTCGCGTGGACATTAGTGTCCTGAATGCTAGTGCGGCTCTCGTCTCTAATGATAGATGGCTCGATCTTGAGCTAATAATTGTTCATAAGTGCTTACTTGGGATGCGACAGGCTTTAATTGCTCTTGCATTGTACTATTTCATGACGCAATCAGGCGGAAGAAAAGACTTTTTTCGAAACCAATGTTACCCTACTTTCTTCTCGAAGTCTCAGCTGAAGAGTCTGAATCTAGATCATCATCTTTGCGTATAGCAAAATGTGCATTGATTTTTCAACCTCGCAGTACGACACAAGTACATTGTTGTGTTCAGAATGTACGCTTACTGAACCTTAGCAGTACAGTCTCGTCTTGTTTGTGGAATTATTCCACGTAGTGGAACTGCAACACTCAAGAGATATATATGATGTTTTTGAACGTGCCTTCGGGGTCATCTCAGCGTGGAAAATCTGGAATGAGCTCACTAGAATGATCGCACGCCATATCGTCTTGAAATACCTTTGCAGACACGATGGAGGCTCACGTTGTGTGCATAGAGCGCAATTCATAGCAATGTAGGTTGCTCGTCCAATTCATACCTCGCCTTCGAACCTCTTGACCTCCTTGAGTCAGTACGGAAAACCTGCATTCCATCAATGGCCATTAAGAACGATCGTGCTCGCGCAACGAAGTAACAGAACGTGAAAACCGACGGCTGCGGAGATCTTGCCGATGTACAGAGCGCACTTCACGACTTAGACCTTCCTGGGAGGGCACACAATGCCGGCGACGAAAGACGTACACTTTGGAAGAAAAAAGACGTCATTCTCAGCGCCAAACGTCGCCTCGTTGTAGTCTGGCCATCCGTCGCCTCGTCGCCTATCGGACTCCATGTCCAGTGCAACCTTGATTATAGATCAAACCGAAAGCATGTTCACTAGGTTCATGTCGAATTCCTCAGATTCGCCCCTCTTTTAGAATTTTAAAATTAGCTCCTCGTCAAGCTGTGAGAAGAATTCGGTCGGACAATAGTGGCACCGTAGAGTGATGGCGGCCATGAATGTGGACTCGGGCTCATTCCCATCCGTCCGAGCGTCTTCAATCATCGTTCAGAATCTGCCGAGAAGAATGAGGGCCATGTTCTCTTTCTTCCGTCGTGGATCCAGAGGAGAGAGGTTGTCCTTGAGGCGGCGGGGCCCACAGGAACACGACACCCCCACTCTGCGTCGAGAATTGCCGGATTAGGGCTTCGTACCGCAGGGTAATTAGAGGTGCACTCGAGTGATCAGCGGGTGATTAGAGCTCGATTAGTGCTGGTCAGAGATGATTAGCGAATGATTCGTGCCCGGTTACTGTCGAGCTTTGAGAGCCCTGTGGCTTCGTTCGGCCGTCAATGCGCGCGAAAGTGGAGAGCTCTGAGTTCCCTCGGAACTGTGGAATTTGATCCTTCACACATTTTGCTGGTGGCGGAGTGGAGGCGAAGAGGAAGAGAGGAGCGAGGCGGGAGGGGGATAGATTTCGGGGAATCTGAGCAGGCAGGTTGCAGGGAGGCAGGCAGGCAGGGGAAGGCGTACGGAGGTCTGATGGTATTTAGAACAGAGAAATGGAGCTCGAGTGGAGGATCTATCGACAGAGTGGAAGGCGGAGAGTATTCCGAATTCGGACGCTGTGATCCGAACTTCGGGCGTCGAAGATTGTTTCTGCAGTCGAGAAGCTGCAGGTTCCTGGTGAAAAAACCGTGTCCAGGTTTGGCTCTTCTCCTTTTCCCACTTGTGGTCGGATGAGGCTTCGAGCCTGACTCTGCTAGAGCAATTCGGAGATGGTGTCTGTGATACCCTCGGACCTCTCTTTTGATCAAGAGTAGAATAATGCCGGAAGTTCAAAGGAATTTCCGCTGCCCCATTCCAGCTTGCCAGCCTCTCGTGGGCATCCAAGCTCTTGACGGAAGGCTGCCGTGATGGATGATGACGATGACCATGACGGTTTATACGCCCGGTTTGAAGGTGGCGAGAATGGAAGGAACGGCCAGGAGGTCGAGTCTGACGCGAATTGGGTGCCTTCTTACGGGGGAGAAGCTGGAAACGAAGCAGAAGAAGATGAAGAAGAGGAGAAGGAAGCACCTGACGAGGCTGTCAGTGCGAGGCGGACATTAAGTTATGAGAAGACGAAGGGAAAACGGAAAGTCAATGAGATTTTGCAGGCAGAGAATGTGTCAGTGACCTCTGAGGAGTATGAGCAAGCGGAACAGATGGAATCTGATGGTGACTACGAACCCAGCGTCGCTGGTGCCGCTGATGTAGAAGAAGCAGCTGACGAAGGGACTAGTCAATCCGCTCGGGAGCGGAAGAGAAAACGAAATGTGGATGATTCTGGCGGAGAGTTGGAAACCTTCCAAAGACCTGGGAAGAAAATTTATGATACGAACGGAGTCCATTTCGAAGTGAACAATGTCGACAGAAATAAAGAGTTTGGGACGGGATGTAGAGAGAAATCTTCTGGTAAAAAAAGGCGGAAGTTCAGGAAAACTAGAGAAACTGATAAGGTCGATATGGAGAGCGAGGATGCGCAGTGGGTGAAATCTCTTCGGGGACCACATCTGGTAACTATTTTGTTCTCGACAAGCCATGAGTTGTGGAGAGTTATTAATTAATCAATTAATCAATGGCACTGTCGATTTTCATGCCCGACTTCAGGTTTGAGATACACATTAAGAAGCTTGAGGTTTGTCCTGAGCGAAAACATCAATACAATAGTTCAGAACACAATTGAACTTTGAAAATGGTTCCAATGTTAAGACATTGCATCTCGTAAAATTTGCTTGTACAATATGTGGAGGAATAATGCTTACCAACCTTTGACCTTGTTAACCTTCTGTGATTGTGCAGAGACTAATGCTCGCACTGAAGGAACTCGGGACCGTGCGTGTGAATACATGTAAAGAGGACTCCCTATACAACTGTCTTACACCAGCAGCTCTACGGGCTATAGGTATTTTGTCGCTCTCAGTCACGATGAATGTCAATTGACTTGGAGTGGAATGGTCTTAAAAGCTTGACATGGAGTAGGAAACGTGCCGTTCTGATGAATGCCCTTCAAATTAGCAAGCAGTGCTTGGGGTTCTGTCGGAGAGGTTTTGGTTTACATATATAGCCTAGTTGGAAAGCTTTAAGGTATGTATTGAAACTTCTACAGTTCGGCCTCTAATCCTTCTTCAAATTCCCACCTTTTCCATGCATCAGTAGTGTTCTAGAAGTTTATTATGGTAATCCGCCAGTTTGCAGTGATTGTTTTCCAGTATTGAAAGTAAAATTTTGGACGTGTCACATCGATGCTTTCCGGGTGGCCATTGTGCATGCACCTGACGGGTACCTTAGCTTTGTGTGTATACCAGATTCTGTCAAATCACATCCAAGCCGAAGCATGTGTTTCAGGAGGGTAGAGGTCCTTGCGAAGGAGATGGTTCTAGATCACTGCTGGCATACGATTCGTTCGAGCATCTTGTATCATTTGTCGGTAGCACCCTAACAACTCGATCTCATTGCAGGTATAATATTGGAAGAGCACGTAAAGGAGCAACTATGTTCTCTTGCTAATAAGTCACCTGGTGATGCTGGTGTACAAGTTGAGAATGGAGATTCTATATCTCCAAAGGAGGCACAGTCTGCGGACTGTGGACATGGGGTTGATGATGGGGTAACGGAGGATACTGAGAACGATCAGACGAGTACAAAGAAGTCTAAATCATCCAAAAGGAGTTCCAAAGCAGAGGGTTTGGTGAACGAAGAAAATCCAGTGAATTTATTGAAGGATCTGCAAACGGAAGAGCAAGGCCATCGGACGACTGCGAGGAAGTCGAAGTCATCGAGGAGTTCTCGAGCTGAGGGATTGGTGAACGATGAACGGGAAGTGAAATCTACGAAGGATATCCCAACGGCAGAACAAGACCATCGGACGACTACCAGGATATCAAAGTCCTTCAGAAGATCTCAAGCAGAGGGATTGTTGAACGATGATCGGGAAGAGAATTCTCTGAAAAATATTTCTTCAGAAGAACAAGACCATCTGACGATTACCAGGAAATCGAAGTCATCCAGAAGTTCTCAAGCAGAGGGATTGGTGAACGATGATCGGGAAGTGAATTCTCTGAAAAATATTTCATCGGAAGAACAAGACCATCGGACGACTACCAGGAAATCGAAGTCATCCAGAAAATCTCAAGCAGAGGCATTTGTGAACGATGATCGTGAAGTGAATTTTTTGAAGGATACTCCATCGAAAGAACAAGACCATCGGACGTCTACCAGGAAATCGAAGTCATCCAAAAGTTCTCAAGCAGAGGGATTGGTGAACGATGATCGGGAAGTGAATTCTCTGAAAAATATTTCAACGGAAGAACAAGACCATCGGACGACTACCAGGAAATCGAAGTCATCCAGAAAATCTCAAGCAGAGGCATTGGTGAACGGTGATCGGGAAGTGAATTCTCTGAAGGATATTCCATCGGAAGAACAAGACCATCGGACGTCTACCAGGAAATCGAAGTCATCCAAAAGTTCTCAAGCAGAGGTATTGGTGAACGATGATCGGGAAATGAATTCTCTGAAAAATATTTCAACGGAAGAACAAGACCATCGGAAGACCACCAGGAAATCGAAGTCATCCAGAAAATGTCAAGCAGAGGCATTGGTGAACGGTGATCGGGAAGTGAATTCTCTGAAGGATATTCCATTGGAAGAACAAGACCATCGAACGTCTACCAGGAAATCGAAGTCATCCAAAAGTTCTCAAGCAGAGGGATGGGTGAACGATGATCGGGAAGTGAATTCTCTTAAGGATACTCCAACTGGAGAACAGGACAATGGGGCGACTACTAGGCAATTGAAGTCATCCAGAAGTTCTCAAGCAGAGGGACTAGTGACGGATGATCGGGAAGTGAATTCTCTGAAGGATATTCCGACGGAAGTACAAGACCATCGGACGACTACTAGGAAATCCAAGTCATCCAGAAGTTCTCACTCAGAGATTGGATTGGTGGCCGAAGTATGGGAAGTGAATCCTACTATGAATAGGCAACCCTTAGAACAGGGCGTTCGGACGACCACAAGGAAGTCGAAATCATCTAGACGGAGTTCTCAAGCAGAGGGATTAGTGACAGAAGAACGGGAAATGAATTTTGCGAAGAGTATTCAAATGGAAGAACCAGGTTCGGCCGTAAAGACGACCTCGAATGGGAAGAAATCATCAACAAAGAAACTTCAAATAGTGCAATCAGTGAAGGATAGTGGACAACGTGGAGATTAGCAGAAGGTTTTAATGCGGTATTAGATAGTAATTGAATCTCCCAACCACTATTAGTTAGATTTCCCAGTTTTAACACTGGATATTGTCTCTGGTGGAGGCCTATTCCAGTGTGTTTTTTAATGCAAGCTCCTGATGTTGGCCCACCTCTCAGGACTTGGGAAGTATACGATTCGAAGGAAATCAATTCCTTCCTTTGTACAAATATATTCACAGTTCACCATTTTTATCAGGTTCTATTCAGACCTGAACATTCAAGCAACTGTACTGGACTGAGCTGTACGACTTGCCTGTATTCGATCGAAGAAGATATATCTGGTTGTTTGTACATCTGTGCAAAACTGATATGTGGCACTTTAACCTCATTTCACGAAATGTTCTCGAAACTGTCGAACCTTTTATCTTGTTTTGCAAAAGTCAGCTTTCGAAACTGCTATTCATTCAACAAACCCTCTTATTCCTCATTACAACGGTGGCAGAAATAGGCAGACAGGTACTGTCCTCCTCTAGACGTAAACTACGATCATACGAAGCACGAAAGGACTTTTTAAGGATTCGCAGCTACTGACACCTTTGCTTTGCTAGTTTCTAGAAATGTGTGTGATGTGATTTTGATACATTTGTTAATCATTTTTTTGATCAAACGTTGATCGTTTCGATCAACGTTTCAGACCTGGAAGACCTGAGATTTGAAGCTACATTTAACATCACGAATTTGTTGAAAAGCCTTCGGTAACGTCTGAAGCTGATTAAGGCAGGAACTGAGCATCATGAGAGAAAAGTTCAAGTTGCGAATGCGAATGCCGAGTGCGAACGCCCTTGCTGTACAACTGGAGTCCCCAGTGAAGGCTAGAAGACAGTGTTAAGCTCGTGCCACTCGTGCAGTGTGGGTCCAAATTGAGGTCAGAAGGAAAATTAGCCAGCCCACACTCTAGTAGCCGTCCAAGAACATAGAGATCAAGTCTAGCACCCTTTACGCACTATTTTCCACCGCTATCTACGAAGTTTATCATAGCCACCTTTGGAAACATTTCTACTGCTTCTCGAACCACGTTTCTTCCATTTCGTGTATCATGTAAAAGATTCTTCCACTTTTCCACAGCACTTTTCTCGACAGGAAACAGATTACTCGTATTTTTTTTTACTCTCGCCCGAAAGTGGGATGACTGAATACAACAAACCACAGTCGATTTACATACACGTGCTTACGGCTTGCAATAATTTGCGCGTTACAAATCTCGTCCAGGTGTGTTTGTGGATCATGCCCAGATGTGTAGGTAAGTAGAGTATGTGCTCATCTGCATTCTGAACGTCCACAGAGCTCGACATTGTACTCGCTCGAGAGCATCACAGCAAAAGATTCAGTTGCTGCGCACCATGTGTGAAGCATGACGGACAGGGGAGTGGAAGTGAAAGCTGTTTGGGTCTTCTGTCGACAGCAACTAAGGATTTGATCCTCGAATAGACCAACAACATCCAACAAATCATTTGGTCCTTCTGCTTTAGATGCTTCCTCGACTCGGTGATAATCTAATCCAAAACTCGTTCCGTTCCAACATTCTTCTGGAACTGCCTCCAGATTTCTGATACCTCGATGATTGCTTGCAAATCCCGAAGTGATCCTTCCATTTGCACCTTTATCCAGCCCGTCCCAAGCCATGTGAAAGAGAAGTGATGACAAGCAGAATAGGTATTAGGAGCGAGACGAAGGTGGCTAGTCACTCTATGGATGAAGGACCCCTCCCTGAAGTAGCACTCTGAAACTCTTAAAGTGTTGCATCTGATTGTGATAAAATCTATTGATTGTATAAGCTTTGGTTTATAGTTATAGTAAATATGCTTCGGACTTCTCTGTCACTAGTTCAGTAAAGAATATTATATAATTCGAGAGTTGACACCAAAAATTATGTGGCTCATCTTGTATGGGATTGAGTTCATTTAAATTTGAGAGCACTTCACCGAAACACTAACCACAAGCCGTGAGAATTGTCATGAAGTTTTTTCTATGTTTTTGCAGTCTAGTCTGAGATCCAGAGTTAATAAACTAGAAATATTTAATAAATTATTTAATTCTTGCATAAAATGCTTCTTTTTTATAATAAAAATTGCACACTTAGCGTAGTTATAGATGAATAAAATGCATGTGGAGAGAGTGATGAGAATATGCTCTAGTGTATGGAGACGGGAGTAGAGGAAAATCTTTATAAAAGTATAGATTAACAAAAATCATACATGCACTTTTGCACTTTCAGACAGGCCATATATATTGTATGTATACTTTGAGTCATATCATTGTTATGACTTAACTCAGATTTTGATTAATTCTAGTCCGTTTTGTCTACAGTTAGTTAAACTAGATTAGCTCCAAGAAAAAGTTTAATGTGATATAATCGAATAATTTATAAGAGCGATATTGTAATCCGTGGATGTAACCTCGATGAGAACAATAATCTAAACTATAAATTATTTAGATTACAGAGAAATTACTTCAGAGCCTTGTTGATGGGAACAATAAGTTATTAGATTTATGAGAATTCACTTCACATCTTGCCATGTATGATCTCAGAACATGACATGTATATGGTCTTCTTGCCGTAGAAAGAGCAATCTCAAGAGTAGATTTAAAAAAGATGAGACTTTCAATTCTGTTCTAGTAGGACATCTTGAGCATCAAATCTTTATTTGGCGGAAAAATAGTTGATGAAAGCTTGAAGTGAAAGCTAAAGGAGTAGTCACTATCCTGTCATTGTCCATGTTTAACCTTGCACATCTATTTTTAGCATATTTGCGTGAAATTCATTTTTGCTGTCAATCTTTCAAGCCATTTTGATATTTTCTCTATCTTCTTTTTCCTTCACAAGACTCTTTTAATATAAACTCAGGTTCAAGAAAGCTTTAAGTATTAACGTGAGATTTGTCCCTAGCTACAATAAACATGTCATTTAGGTTGAATATTACTATATCAAAATAAAAAATTTTAATGTTGATATCTTTAATGCAAAGGGGAGGATAAGCTATACAATGTTTTAAACTTTGTATAATTATACTTTTTTAGGAGTATAAACTCTAATCATCGAATTGCTTGTTATATTGTCTAGTTATTTGCTTTATTAAATACAAAGATTGTAGCAACTTCTAAAATATAATCTCTTGGTTTTTCTTCAGACAACTCATAAGATATCTCATGAAGATACTTTCATCTAAATTGTCTTCTCTATGTTGAATTGAATTTCATGAAGCATATTGTTGGCAGCATAGATCTCAGTTATCATTGAGCGTACAATTATTTATTATATCGGCTGAAATAGATCCAAAAACATTGAAATATGATATGAAGGTATACAAGAACATACAATCAATATTACACATCATCCACGAATACACAATTTTGGAAAGCACAAGCGCTAGAATAACAAACTTCTTCAATCGATCCCCACAAGCAATTCAATTTCATCAGTCAAAACATATCATATTTCTGCCTTCAAACCAAAAGATTCTTGTATTTAGATGATAGATGTTCACTTTCTACACTTCCAACTACAAAAGGTTGTATACAAATTGATTGCCTATATGTCATGAACAAGAAAGGATCAAAATGACTTGACGGAGTATTGCTATGTGCTGCAATTGGAGTTATGGGGAATATGTTTTTGGTTAGAAATCACCAAGTTACATTCAAAGTTATGGAAGTGATGATTGTTGTAATAACATGTGACCAGGTGTATGAGAAGATGGTTACTTATCATTTTGGACGGACGATTTAGTGTCGCGTCAATAACCAATGTTTCCAAATATAGATATCTTCATATCTTTATTACCATAACATCGAAATAAGATGGAGATATGATTATCAAATTTGTTAAAAATAACGTTTGTGACAGAGTTTGGAAAAATAATCATACTTTGCAAGATAAGATATCATTTGCTTCATATTTTGGATAATACAATTTTACCTTGTTCTGAAGATAGCGTTTGCTAATGGTACACATAGGAAAGACATCAATAGTCATGCTATAATTATATCGCTTAATCTAGAGAGTAGGTTCGTATTGTAGCATCCCTTTGTCTTATTAATTTTTCGATGTGATGGTTTTTCTTCCCTTGGCATCCAATTCAAAAATTCAAAGACTTTTTAAGAGTATGGAGAATATAAAGTGGTTGCGGAGATAATGGCAACTCTCCGGGTGAAACATGATCCAAATAAAATGAAACGTTTTGGAAACCGGTGCGAATTGGTTTGGAAACCATCGATAATCTAATCTATGCTAACAGCTCCTAGGAGGGTCCATATGAGCCAAGCCCTTTATCCAACGCATATCCTGAAACGCGTTCATACTAATCCGCTCACCATAAAGTTGATCGTACAGATCAGAAGGCCAACGAGGTGCGAGTGCGGGAGATGGAGGTAAGTTGCCAACATTTTATATGTTAGTTACAACGTACAGACTTGCACCTGAAGCTTACGACGTCGGATGGCCTTTTGCCTGTTTTCTTTCCTTCAGACTGTCAAGAGCAGAACCACGTCACATGTCATGCCTGGCTTTCCAACCTTTCCAGAAACATCGACCATGCGTGACTCCGAAGTACAACTGGTTCTCAATGCTGATCCTATCGAGGTGCACGGCGGCACACTCTTGTTTCGTGAACCGGGTGGACGATTCTTCTGCTTGGAAAAACTCGCCCTCTACACCGTAGCTGATAAATTTACGATTGAGCTCATGTATCTCAGCACATGCAGAGAGTACGCTGTGCTTCTTCGAAGGATGGCTGAGGTCTCACTACAGCCAACGGGAGCTCAAAAGACATTTTCTCCTGGCCTGTCCTTTACAGGGTCCCTACCGTGGTTGTTAGAATCTTGCCTGCTTTAGAAATAATACCTTAAAATTTCGCACCTGTATCCACTTTTTTTGTCTGATAATGTCTCCGAACTGTTCGTCTCTGGGGAAGGAGCTGCTTCTAAAGTCGGTCGATTTGTTTGCACTTGATTCGTAGAGTGTCACTCGTGAGTTCGAGCATAGGGCTTTGGTGTATGGGGCCGAGGACCTGTAAGCTGGAGAAAAGACCATATTTCGCTACCTAGAGTTCTAATCTGAGCTCCGTCTCCTGTCACATTTGCTGCTCCTAGCGGAAGCTGCAGGCCCTCTCCTTTCTCCTACATACCTACCGGCATGGCCTCCGTACGCTCATTTGGATGAGATATTCGATTGCGAGCATAAGCTAGTGTTGGAGACACAACATAATTCTTCCAGGCATGTCCATGCCCCATTTCAATTTCAATATATAATGTCATGCCCCGTATTAGAATACGTACATTTTACTCACTTTTGTGAAAAAAGAACACTCTTAGATAAAAAAAACTATTGAAAAGCTCTGGAGATACGTATATATTTGTTCGTACATACGGGCATGCCCCTGTGCCCTGGGCATGCCTTTGAGGTTGTGCCTCCAACTCTAGCTTCAGCTCCCACACCTTTGCTTTGCGAGTGCTCAAAAGTTGTTGCACTTCGAACACGACTCCATCGGAAAGTTCTAATTAGGTACTTGTGATTTAGGGTTCTGTAGATGGAGACTTCGATCGTCTGAATGATGGAAGCACCTTTTTCTCCCTCACTCTCGCTGGTTAATTTAGAGTCCATTGACTTAATGCTCACTTGATGACTTGATGGAAAATAAATTCTGTGTGTCTATTGATGTGTCGAATGGGAGCGTTAGAGGAGGTAGATTCGTGCGAAAATATTATCCGATAATAAGTCGGTGGTTGCAGGGTCAAAGGGTACAACTAGTCACAGGGCGACACGACATCCTGTCCGGGACCACACTGACACGTCAGCTGGTCGGAGGTCTGCTATGGCACGTGTACAAGCCACTGCCAGCGAAGTGGGGTTGAAATGAGCTTCCAGTACGAGTAGGCCTGCCTGAGACGAACTACCACCGTAAGATCTGGATCGCTCTTTCGACGCCTGGCCGTGAGATTTAGTGACAAGTCAGCTTCCGTGGTTTGCTGGAACTACCTTGCCCTCCCGTGCAAGTCTTACCGTACGGAACGACTTGGAGACGGTTGCTTTGCACGTCAAGCGAAAGGTGACAACGACGCGCACCAGTCGCATGGAAGATTTGGCCGTCAAGTCTGCCATCGCTGAGGACGCACACGATTGGCTGTCTCGTCTCACACATGCACTACATTCCAATCGATGGACCGCCCCAGCTGCGCGTTCGGTCAAGTCAGGCTTGGCAAGTGGCCTCTATTTTAGCGGTCGCGATTTCACCATTTGGCGGAGACGACTCTCGCCCGCTATAGCCATGTAGGTTGTGGAAAGGCTGGTTGAATCGCCAAGTAGGGCGCGAGTTCGGAAACTCGGTCTGATGCATCGAGGAGGGTCGCCTGCGTTATTTTATGCCGTAATCGACGCCAATTTAGCATGCCTGGTTGAATTTTAGTCCAGATCCTTCTGCGTGTCTGATTCATTATTATATGAAAGTCAAAGCACTTTAAAGTGTAGATTCGGTCACTCTGTCGGAAAGACAGGGAATAAGTGTATCGACTGTATTAATCTTCGCTTATAAGTTATATTTTGTAACCGATTACTAACCTCTAGCCCGGCGCACTGTATGAAGATTGATTATCTGCCACTCGTAAGGTTGCCGAAAGTGAAAAATGATATAATGAAAAGTTTTATTATCTGTTCTAATATTCTAATACTTGGTATTGACTAATCTCGGAATGTTCTCATAATTTGATTTACTAAACAACGTCTCATTATTATTCTTATCTCTATCTCTCTTTAATTCGAAATTCACATACATGCAGGAGCTAAAATGCAGGAGACGAAGTGACCAATCATAGGTCAAGAGATAACCCCCGCCAAAACAGAGGTCTTTTTGGACACACGCGGGATGCGCAGCTCGACAATGGCAGCTGTTCAGAATGGAATCGACGCTGATATATGCAATAAGTCAGTGAACAGAACAGAGCCCTTTCTAAATGCACAGCAGTCTTCCCCGCAGCAACTATAGAAAACGGACAAATAGTTGGCGGAGGTGACGAATGGAGACTCTGCAAGGCTTGCAAGATGGATGGGGATCGACTCTAAGCGTCTGGGGCATTGACACCTTTGGAGCGCGATCGAGGTGCCGCCAAACTGGATAGAGACTTGTCCGCAGAAAGAGCGGCCCTTGTCGCGAAGCGAGGAGCCGTGGGGTTCCACTGGAGCGTCTGGCACGAGGTTCGGTAACGCCCGCGACGATGCGAGCAAATAATATGCTGCTAATCCGACAGCTTAATCACGATCGCAGCGTGAGGTAGCACGAGATTCTCCGCATGGTCTGGCCTTCGTAATCTATTAAGACTGACTAATGGCCTTGGATTAATTTAATCTCCTGATACGCACCTCGCGAGATTCGTCCCTGGATAGTTTTAGAGGTGACACAGCTTCCAGCAGCTGACAGCTGACGCTGAGCTACTAGTACTATCGAAGAATATGCACTAGCCTGATGACCTTGACGTGAGCGGAATCTCACGAATTTATGTCTGTGCGCGCGTGTGTGTACTTTGGTGAGAGCGAGTGTGTATGTGTGTATGGGTGTGTGCGTGCGAGGGAATGAGTCTTGGAGAGAGATCAATCCAGTGAAAGAAGAAACATAAAGAGAGAGCGACGCTCAGGCGAGCGGTCGACGAGACAGTTTCGGTTGAGTCGAGGATCTTGAGAAGTGAGTGACAAGTGAGACTCGGAGAAGGTGGGGGGAGAGTTCGAGCAGGAGGAGAGGATTGGATCAGGGTGAGGAGAGTGATCGAGCACGACTCTCGGCTGCACCGAGATCGCGCGGATCATCCCCACCATCATCATCTTCATCCACCGGACGAAGATTGCAATTCCTCTCTAGAGCCTGCAGAGAAGGAACCGAAACAAAGACAAGCGAGACTGAGGGAGGAGGAAGCGAGAGGGCCATCGTACGGAGGAAGATCTCGAGAAGAAAAGAAGCACGTACGAAGCGCCAGCCTTGGGGCGCCCCTCAGACTGTCAAAAAGAGCAACCCATAAAAAAAAATCGGAGAATAATCGAAATACAGGATTGGCGTCGGACGTGCTGCAGGACACGGTGAAAGAGGGAAGCGGAAGATGGAGAATCTGCTGAAGAATTGAGCTACCTGGGGCGAGCGCCGTGGGACATCGAGCGACTTACTTGGAAGCGATATGGCGTGGAAAGCTTGAGCGGGGCGGAGGGGAGGGAGGGGGACGCGCTCGGTGGGAACGCGAATCGGGAGCCGATCGAGGAGGCAAAAAGCTGGAGTGTGAACGAGCGAGCGGGAGGGCGGAGGACGACGACGAAGGAGCGAAGTGCATGATCGGGAAACGCAGGCCGCCACGTAGGAGGAAGCGCCGGAAAGCGGCCGAGCAGCAGCACCAGCAGCAGCAGCGGCGATGAGAGAAGTGCGAGAGCAGCTGTGGCGGGCGGGCAAGTACGCTGCGGTTGGGATCGTGGTGCTGGGCACGCTGCCGGTGCTGCTGCCATCGGTCTTCATCCTCGCGGTGCTGCTCTTCACGTTCGCGCTGCCGCTGGTCTGCGCAATTGCGGGCTTCTTCTACCTGCAGCGCCATGCCACCATGCTCTACCGTTACCTGCCTGGAGGCGCGGGCGCGGGGGCGGGCCGCTCCCTCTCCACCTCCTCAACGTCCTCCGCCTCGGTGGCGCCTCCCTCGTCGCGCTCCGCCGGGTTCACGCTCCTCGAGCTGCTGCGCAAGGACGTGGACTCGATCGACACCTTCGAGGTCGTGGATCAGGAGTTCGACGCCGTCGTCGTCAGCACCGTGTCCAAATTCGCCAGAGCTCTCAAGGACGACGCTGATCGCCAATTCCCCTGCAAGAAGCTCGAGGCTCCGAGGGCCCCGTCCGATGCCTCGGCGGAATCGCCCCTGACGCTCGTCGATCGCGATGATTGCCGCGCCGAGACTCGTGCCCGCGTGGAGGACGACGACGACGACGAGCAGGAGCAAGAATTTTGCAATGCCGAAGATTTGAGCGTTCTCGACGAAGACGAGCACACGGAACTGATGGTGGATTCGCGTCTGGTGCAAGGAGCCGACGATACGGAGCAGGAGAAAAACGGAGATGGGCAGTTCGTTGGAACCGTCCCGAAAATTTCTGACACCTACGGCGTCGTCCGCGATGACGAGGAAAAGAACCCCTCGATCATTGTGGCTTTCAATTCAGGCAGTCATGTTGTGAATGGAGAGAAGGAGCGAGCTGCAGTGAACGATCTGGTGGCGGTTCTGGCGGGCGACTTCGACCACACTTTCTCGAGCGCTGACGGCGAGAAAGCGAGAGAGCACGAGGGTGTTTTCGAGAATAGGATTAGTGAGTGCGAGGAGAGGAGTGGGAATCCTGATGCGTCTTGTACAAATTCCGGTGAAGGGGTTGGAGGAAAGCAGGGAGTTGAGAGCGAGAAGAATTTTAATAACGACGCGAGTGAAGTGTATGAAGATAAATTAGCAGCAGTAATTGAATATAGATTGGACGATTTAACTTCAGAGAAATCATGTGCAGTTCATCCGGGAGTATCAAGTCCAGAACGAAGTGTGTCGAGTTTGAAAACAGTGAGCACGTCTGGAGCATGTCGTCCAGAATCGGCTCCTGCGACATACGGATCGTTGAATATGCTCCGGCTCGACGAGTCTGCATCCGACCATGAATACTTTGAATCAACTTCAGACGCTTCCTTCGAAGCACCCCGGTCGGAGAAAGAAATAGACTTCCAAGACAAGGAAAACCAACACAGTTTAAAGGCGCAATCCTTAAGAGAAGTGGAAGGTTTTGATGGTGAACAATATGATCGCTATAACTCGTCTTTACAGGATGAGGATGGCTACAATTACGAGGTGCACTCAGAAGCTCCGGCCCGAAAAGACACGGGTGAAATTGCTCGGACTCCTACCACCGGTACTCGAGAAGAAGAATCCTGTTCAGCATCTTCCGGTTCCGAGGAAGAGGCTTACGGCCCTCCTTCTACTACGTCTCACGATTCCGACGCATCGGAAGAGACAGCGGGGATGATGAAAGGGAGCAGATCAGCAATATCTTTCTCCGAGGACATGTATGACAGCGAAGAACAATTACATTTGCAGCAGGTATTATCGTCGTCCTTGCTTGAATTGCTTCTGACAGACTCAGAAAATTTGTTCTCATTTGATATGTTTGTTTTAATTTAATTTCTCGGTCAAGTGTATTAACGATTGCTTGGATTGTAAGTAGTGCAACCTATTGCTTCATTACTCTGTTCATATCGAAGTTTTCAAATCAATTTTGGCTCAGAAAGTCTTGCCTCTTAAGTCATAATTAATCGTGGCAGTTGCTGAGGTCTGCCTTTTCTGGTCATAGATCCTCGTTGAAGAATTGTGGAATCGAGTTCATACTTGGTAGTCTAGTTCCCGCAATTCGAAAGTCCGTTCTAAGGAAAAACAGTAAAACTAGACCCAGAGAGATGTCCAACTCGTTCCATGCCCTGTGTTCATACCAGCGTGGACACCCCAATGCTGCGATGAGATTAAACTGCGAGAGATTGTTCCCACTACATTCTCAATGCGTTTCCATGTCCAGAATCTAAAATTGCCTCTCCCTGCAGACTTAGCTTAGACACCTTTTTGATCAAGAGAAAAAATCTGATACGGACAACGACTTATTGACAGACGGTCATGTTGCATCTTGACATGAAAAATCTTGTTTCCCTCTCTCCTTTGATGAAGAGCTTAGTTTGGCAGGGCAGTTTTTAGTTTCTGATTGTGCTATGGTCACTGTAAATGACCTTCCTTGGACGTGGCTTCCTCGTGTTCATCAAATTTTGTGAGGTGAAAATGTGATGAAAAGGCGCGCAGTTTTGAGTTGCGGAATCTGAGCAAGTTATCTAGTTATGTGGAACATGTAAATCATGGACTAACAACTCATTTCTGTGTCCATTCTCAGCTTACTTATGTTTCCAGGGGTAGGTCCACGTTTCGTCAGAGTCATAGTGAGACAATAATTATATGGTACTACAATATATTTGCTGATCTCACCTAGGAGTTATAAAAAATGTTCCTTGAGGGTGAAAGAATTTCGTTGCAGACTATGGTAGTGTGCATACACATCAGATGCTGCAACGGTGTACTTTATTTAAATCATGAATACGAGCGAGTTCTGAGTAGGCCACCTTCATGTTATACTTGGTGAATCAATCTTAGCGGTTTTCAGCCTTTTTTCTGCTTTTCCAGCCAGATTGCTTTTGACTATGTTGAGAGTGGACTCTGTGTTCTCAGAAAATGCTGTTGGTTCTCATGTGTGGGTGGTCGTTGTACCTAGCTACAGATGAGAGGATTCAAATTTCCTAGTAGTTTGATACTAAATATGGATCGTGCTCGAACGGAGGATTCAAGAAACATACGAATACATGATCTGTGCTGACAATCTGCAGAATTGAGGACAGTGTGCGTCACCCCTGAATTTGGGGAGAGGATTGTGTCTTAAGTTTTTGCTGGAGTGGTTTCTGTTCAGCTTTGTACTTGCAGCCCAAACATCTTTCCTCTAAATGCCTTCACCTTTCTCTTACCTAGCCCCACGCCTGTGCTCCATGACTAAGCTTTCCTGTACAACCCATCTGGGGAGGAAGGCTGAGATCTACTCACTGAAGCTCTGAGTTTCATTGGAGACAAGCTCAGAGCTTGAGTGGGCATCCCGCGTAAATGAGAGTGGTTTTCCTGCTTTCTCGAACCTCTGCACACCAGCGCTATGCAATCACTGCTATGCAATCGAACCAGGGCTCTGACAACCAGTATAGTTTGCCCAGCTATTGCAGTTTTGGCGTGGAAAGGAGTTCCAGGCATGCTCGCCAGTTGACCACGCAAAGGCGCAAAACCAGCACAGATTGAGACTATTTCGAAGACCACCACAGGTCTGTTAGGTCACCCCAGCCCCGAGCGGCTGTGTTGCCCTTTTGTCTGCCGTTCCTCTACTCCCCATCCCTCTGAGCACTCCCCGCAATCAAATCAAGAGCCTTTTCTTGTTCCAAGATGGGAACGAAGGCTGGAAACCGTCGCTCTAAACGTTTTGTAAATACACCAGGGAAGAAAAATATGAAAGCCAAGATAAGTCAAACCTCTGAAAAATTGAATCAACCATCACCACCAACATTATATGCACAAAGGTAACAGCATCGAATATGCCCTCAATGAATCATGTGAACTACCAACAGTTACATGAAGATTTAGGGAAATAATGTTGCCTATTGATATTGCATTGCTACTGTAGATTATTTCTTATATCACTCCATTAATGTGTATCTGTTACGTGCTTCGTTTTTTAATTCCAGATAGGTACCACCGGAGAGCGAATCTTGAATTTCTATTTTTCGATGATTTCCTTTTGCTGTGCGCACAGGTGCGCGACGAGGAAGAGCGACAACTCAGAGGGGAATTGAAGGCCATCAAAGAAGTGGTCGGCGACCAGGAGGCTTCCAAAGGTCCCCTTGTTAGCGACATCGAGGAGCTGAGTCAGATTTTGGGCATCGAGTTGCCATCCATGAGCGACGACATACCGGAGTTGGAGTGGGCTAAAGTGGCTGTAGAGGTCATGAAGGTTGTGGTTGGCATGGAATGACAACTTGCTTCATCTACTGTGTGTGAAACGTTGACGAAGAGCAGGCGTGGGCCCATAAGGGCTGCCTCTGGTCCACATCAAGGGCCGGTGGCTCAGCTCGAGACAGGAACGCTTCTGGTTTAGCGCCAGATCTGTCTCAATGCTCAAAGGCTGGCACTCTGAGCACGGAGCTTGTTTGCAGCAGGTGGAGCTCAGAGCGCTGCAGATTCGCTCACGAATCGTAGTTCTCTTCCTCTGTGGAGAGCTACATTCAACCTCATCAGAAATATGACACTTCGGATAGAGGTCCCATGATATTGAACTTCCTACTTTCTAGAGGAATGAGTTTTCAGATATAAGTCATATCTTCTGAGCTTCATATTCTAGAACTTTTATGGTGTATTATAGGTAGTGGCTATTAATCCGACGGAAGAATTAGACGGGCTGAATGCGTAGAGCAGTGGACCGTAGAGAAGAGTTTCCCAACTTTTGCGAGTGCACAAGGTACCACCAGAACTAGGGCTCTGTTCATACTTTTCCCTTGTCACAATTCGTATATGTTTTTCTACGAGTTTGAGAGAAGATATCACCACATTTGTACTACTATCTATGCTTGCGCTCACGCGTCGTGGGTAAAACTCCTTCCATTCTTTACACGGTGTACAGGATTTGCAGAGGTTAATATTTTTCATTCTCAATCTGGTGTACAGGACTCGCAGTTGAGTATATCTTCTTTCTTTTGGTCACAATTCGTAGTCAATGTACCACTGTTGCACCTTTTACTGTTTCAAATGTACACGACCTTACCTGGAATTTGGTTGTCATTCATGTGGCATGTGCTGTCACAACTCGTTTAGCGAGTTGCCTACGCTAATAGCCTGAAATTGCGTGCGCGGTGTTGAGTGTTTTATAATTTTGTTGCGTCCAAGAACCAGATTTACAAACAGAAATGGTGAATCTCCCCGGCACCTGTGGAGTCTCTGCCGAAGAGGTGCATGAATGATCGGATGGAGCCTTTACCAGGGAGAGTGATAAGTGGGGATAAGATTGAAATCATTGTCAATCTCCCAGCTTGGTAGTTAGCGAGATCTCAGGCTGAGGATGAGCTGTGGCAGTACTGTAGTCGAGTCGAGGCTTGCACTAGTTTGTTTCTCCGTATGTCTATGGGCCAAACAATCTGCTTTCGATGTACTGTACGTCCAGGCAGCACATTGGGACGTGGTTTCTCCTTTGTTCACCTCAGCTGCATCTTCAATACGTATCTGAAATACTTGAGAATTCTCTATCGAGATATTGATATCTTGTGGTGCACGTGAAACTAGTCACACTGTTATGACTGGTTATCTTCTACGAAGTCCCCGATCATTGCTCTCCTCCGTTCAAAGGTCTCATAAGATCAAGACTCTGCCGTCAGTGAAAGAAATTGTAAAAGCGCATGGATTTGTGAAACATCACATCTTGCCAGTAAGGTTTTCCGTCTTCTTACCCTTTGGCAACTTGAGCAAGAAGCTGACTGAAACTGTGCATTAAAGACTGCGAGTTGTGACTTCTCTATTCATCCGTGTCCGATTATCCGCACACAAAACTTCATCTTCTGCATTTCATCCCAGATCTGTAAACGATATTGTTCACCGTAACATCCTCCGAAGTGCCTCTTCCACAGCATGAGGGTATGAGATCTTTTGACAGTCTTTTCCATGATATGAGTAAAGATTGCCAATAAAAGACAAGTGCCGTCTCGAATCAAGTGTATTTCTTAGATATACTATGTCTACAGATACAGTTGCAAATACGAATAATAATGCTAAACTCGTGATCGAAAAAAAAAAAAACGTCCTTTTCCATTACAAGAATAAGTCTTTCTTTATACATACAGATAGGTAGACTTGTACCAGAACCCAGCAACTTATTCTCGTGTTACTAAGTTCTGATATCTCATGTTGCAAAGACATTTCCAGACTACGCACATATCAAGGAGTATCAATTTCACCACGTATAGGAGGATGTGCTCGCTTGTTAGGTGCGCAGGGACCCGAACGCAAGCTTTGAAACCAATCAATCTCGTCCAACGAAACCTTCAAAAATAAGCTGCTGTTGAGCACCCGGTGCAACTCGGGTATCGACTGGGAGCTAATGCGTGTGAAGATAGAAAGGCAGAAAGAAATCTGAAGTTCCAAAATGAAAAATTATGAACACTTGGAGGGAGTATGATTCAAGTCTTCGTGCTCGTCCTTCATCAACTTATGGAATCAGAAACATTCATCCAACTGCTTCGACACACGTCATTATAAAGCACATGCGAAACATGTCTCACATGGATACAAACGCCGACTCTAAAGGATCGAGTGCAGGGACTGACTGCCAGTGCTCGCCAACAGAATGCACCACTTGTGCCCTGAAAGATCTGTTGCACACCACTCGCCCATCTCACGAGCAAAATTTAAAACTATTATAGACACCATTACAAACAATGGTTGCGTTTGAACTGTAGATGTGAAAATCCACCGTCTTCCCATATATCCAAACTCTGTGTCTGTCTCGGTCACCTATCTACGTGTAAAGAGACGGGTAACAGTGACAGGCACGTGCTTAGACTCTTCCCAATCTTCAATTCTGTAAAGTGGCTTCTTATGCCTTCAAAACAATAATCTCTGCATTTTCATGGCGTTTTAATGGACTAGCAGTACGAAGACTTGCATCATATGGCACAGAATCTGGATGAGCAGACTGCGCTACAATTGTGTGGGATCTTGGGATCCGCATAAAAGTACCGTGCAAGTGGCTAAAATGAGGAGCAGCTTCAAGAGCCTTGTGGCCATAGTGCCTTCCTTTCAGGCAAACTCGAAGACTCTCCGTCGTGTGGCAAACCTGTACACCTTCTTCTTCGATGGCCGAGGTTGTCTCACGCCCAGCGACCATTTGATAACGAGCCAGTGCTACTGTTTATTCTTCTTCATCATTTCGCGCATTTCCTCTCCGGTTGGAGGTCGTGGACCTTCGGGAGGGTACACCACGTACGATCGCTGAAATTCAATCCAAAACCAGGCGACTATCGTCGATGAGAATGTTAACGATGACAATATCCAGACAAACACGAGCAGAGAGACGACGGTCCAACTGAGTCGGGAAACGTGCAAAATCTTTGATCGAGATACTTGAAACTCATGTGACCGTGAAAGTATCCAACGATGTGATTTAACATGAAAGATACTCGGACATTCATCTAAGTGATTCCTAAACCACCAGCGCACCTTCCTCATGCCTACAATTGTAGGTTTTAGGTTTTAGCTCATGATGAAGGAAGCATTCGAGGCAAGGAGATAGACCTTCATGGACTGTGAGAAATCTCAAGCTGAAGTTTTTGCAGTTAAGATTAGGTTATTCGTTTCAACGGATTCACTGACTAAATTCCCGTTATCTAAATTCTCTTACATTTCATCTTGGCTCTAATCTTCACGAGGAAGGGCAATCGTAGCGATCGCCGGTGGATTCTAGAAACTGTTGGAATCGGAAGAGAAAAGGAAATTCAACACCTCAGATTTCAGAAAAACGAAGGTGGAGGGAATCGCGGAGCTCACATTTCGAATGATGCGCTCCAAATTTTGAGGGTCGTAAGCGAACGCGGACATCATGAGAATAGGTATGGAGATATAGCATCCGAACTTGAACACCTCCAGCACTCCCTTCTTGGCTCCTACGGCCGACATCTCCGCTCGCTCTGTCCTTCCCGCCGCCCCACGTTGAACCTCGCACCAATTCCCAGACAACTCAAAAGTCCAATTTCCACCTACGATCCGAAACACATTGCAGTCAACAGAGCTTCACGAAAGACTCTTCTGGGCAAATTGCGAATCCTAATCCCGTGCAGCGCCAGAAGTGCTGATGAACACAAGGGAGATTGACAAAAATGCAGAAGAAACGGTGGCACAATTGGTGTTCCCGGACCGACTCTGAAAAGCGCTTTGCACAATCCCCCTTCTACCTCTCCTTCCTCTTCCTTTACGACAAAACTTTGTGCTGTGTGTGCAATCGTCGATCCTGGATAAGCGGAGATTCGTCTTCTGCGAGCCCCATTTGCTACGCGGTCTCGAGTTATTGAAGGAAAATGTGCTGACGAAATTACTGACTAATGGCCTGATTCTCTGTATGAGAGTTTTCTTTCGGTATAGGTGTTAATTGAGATCGAGTGTTTAGTCAGTTGCCTACTTCCCTATTATGGCGGACCGCGCTCCGTAACTTTACATGCCTGGGTTTGCATGCCTGGGTCGACATGTGATTTGAATCCACATTATCAGAGAAGATGGACGGTATCTGAGGAATAAGCATCGGCTAACTCTGTGCCACCAGTTCCATAAACGCTCTGCATTTTACAGAATACCGCTAGCACTTGATTTAGGGCATTGATTGCCCTCACCGTGAATTTGTATATAAAGAGCCTAAAGCTGGACGGGGCATGGACATAGATAAACATCGAAATACCCTTTAATATCTTAATTAGAAGAAAACTAGCACTATCTACATGGAAAATTATTACTATAGAGGTTGCAATGAGGTTCAATAAAAAATATAAACAAATACCATCATCATGTTGTGCTTGTGCCATATCAATTAAAGTGACTAACCATTCGCTTATAAAGTTAATCTAAGTTCAAAAAAGCTACAATACATTATCTATTATGAACTTGATAATGTCACACTTGTTAATAGAACATCTTGATATTGTCATCTAAAAGTTTGAGATTGATTTTACTAGTGTAAAGTTCCCTTGTTATTATCACTATCACCCTTGATAATGTCACTATTTTTTTCCAAAATCTGTAATGTAAGCGTGATAATATCAAGTATGGATGGATTGTATGTGACAGTTGGATGTACAGATTGTAGTAGCAAAAAGTTCATGAGCCACCCTGTGATAAATGAAATGTTATTCAGAGGATCATGAGACACCCCCTTGCACCAACCTTGATATAGTGTTGATGATTCAAAATTTTAGTTTCGTGGACATTTACTATATCAACATGGTGTCTTTTTCGTTTATCTAAGGTTGAGTACTCACACTACAGTGTACCTAAAGAAAGACGTAGTGTTTCACAATTATAGAAAGTTGTCATTGCTTAGGTACTTGGTTTGATGCATCTTGTTGTTGCTTCGATCTTACACAAAATAAAGAGAAAGTTTTTGACGGCGCTTGCTTCGATCAACAGTATTCGAACTTGCCTCACTCTCGGCACTTGCAGTCGGAGCAACAAGAAGACCAGCTTGAGTGGACATGCACCTCCAGCATCCGAAGGCACTGCGTGAGTAGACACACTGTCGCAACTGCACCAGGTGAGAGCTGAAGCCCACTCTCAACTCTAACTTATTATGTATTCCATTTGTGCAAGAAATTTCGGTTCTTTTTCGGATCATGAGCATGATGGGAGCACATCATTGGGATGTTATCTGGATTGATGATGTTGATAGTTTTAATTTCTGCCTCTTCTAATGAGCTTGATACAGTTCGAAGTTTGTGGTTTCAAGCTCGTTTCTTTGAAGTGGGAGCTAAGTTTCTTTTCTGAAGATGGTTGTTTGGAATATGGTTATGGGGATGAGTGTGCTTTTGGATGAGTAGGAGTGTTGTGTGGTTTTCAATTTAAAGTTCCATGTTTCAGAATTTCTAAGAGAGTATGAGTCGATGTGTTCTGTGGATATCGCTTTCATGGTCTTTTGAGCATCTGCATGCTGGTGCATTTGTAGGAGGTTGGCCTCACATCAGAGTTCTCAATTTTGGTATGCCAATCCACAAGGAAATCAAAATCCTCGCAGTCACTCACTTGCCTCTGGCTAGACAACCAGCGATCAAACCTGAGTGTGTTCCCTATTTTGATCGCATTAACTGTTTTGGTTGAATTTGTGATAACACATGAATAAAGTTGTTGCTGAAACAATTGAATGCACTCGTTTTGCTCAATTATCATGATGACTTATATTGAGTTCTCATTTTGTGAAATGGTTTGGCAGATCCAGGTACTTCCAATGGTAAGTAAATCCACGCGCAAAAGTATGGATTTATCAACCTCTGATAAGAAGAAAATTTGTGAAGTACACAAAGCTCATCCTAGTTTGAAACAAGAAGATCTCACACAGTTCATGGTGGACCAACATAAATTCAGGCTTGTGGATCAAACCACTATTTCCAAAATTCTTTGTGGAAAAGAGAAGTGGCTAAGTGTGGATATATTTGTGCGTGAAGTCAATGTGCGACGTGTTCGAGTTGGAAAATGATCTAAAGTTAAAAAAGCTTTTGGTTTTATAGTTTGGACAAGTTAGGGCACGAAGGGAAGTTGTAACTGATGATGTCATTATGCACAAGGCTATGAAATTGAGTGATTCATTTGGCATATGCGACACTGAGTTCAAGCTTTCTCATGCATGGTTGCAAAATTTCAAAACTCGACATGGAATTAAGTGTTATTATTTGCATGGAGAAAGAGGAGATGCAAATGAGGTTGGAGTTGCATTGGCCATGGCAAAGATCCCATTCATATTAAAGAAATACGATACATAAGACATTTTCAATTTTGATGAGACAGGTTTGTGTTACAGAGCCTCATCTAGCAAGACTTTGAATACTGGGAAGGCAAAAGGAATTAAGAAGAAAAGGATCGTGTGACATTGTAGCTTTGCAATAACATCTCAAGAAGGAGTGATTGAACCTTGTTTTTATTCACAAATCAGCGCGTTCAATCCAAATGGTGTAGTACATTTTTATTCTAACAATTCATCTTGGATGGTGTTGTTTTTACATATTGGGTGAAGAGTGAGAACCAAAAAATGACATTGCAAAATAGAAAGTTTTGCATTATTATGGATAATGCAGAAAGCCATGATATTTATGATGAGCTCAAGAAATTTATAGATGGGTTTAAATTTTTTTTACTCTTCCATATCACTATCTTGTTACTTTCACCAAATGTGACTTCAATTATTCATCCTTTGGATCAAGGAGCGATTGCAGCATTCAAAATGTACTTTAAGCGCAAGCTTGTTGCCTGGACTACGCAACAAATTGATAACTTAGATGAAAATTTGGAGAAACTAAATGTTGATCTCTTTCAATCAATGTTATGGTTTGTGGTGGCATGGCATGAATTAAATGATCAAACCATCAAAAATTGTTGGACAAAGTCTGCCATATTGCCTACAGAGTGGAATGCAGATATAAACATTTCTGATGAAAGTATGAAGTCCAAAATAGAGGAAGCAGCTTTGGAATTAAGCAATCTCATTGCCGCATTGAATTTGGATTTATATGTTGAAGGCAAGCTTATAGAAAAGTTTAGTCCTTTGGAGTACATAAACATGGAAGTTGAAGATGAATTTGAGATGGAATATTCTACTGAGGAACTTATGCAATCAGTGCAAGATGGCGAAGAGATACTTGATTCCATGGAAGAAAACTCAATGATTGTTGATAGCAATGATGATGAGTATAAAGTAGTGAAGCTAAGCGAGGCACATGTATATGCTAAGGATATTTTGAATTTTATGGCTAGCCAAGGTTCTAAGATTTTCAACACTCAAGAGTTGTTTGGAATGGAAAAAATCCATGACAACCTCATTAGAATTGGTGTTGAACATGTAACATCGCTAAAACAATGTGACATTAGATACTTCTTTGTTACTAGTGAGAGTTCTCTACCGGATTGCAATGACACATTATGATGTGCTCTTGTTGTCATTCCGAGTTTTGAATTATATTTTGCATTCAAAAACTTTGAAACCTTACATTTGTTATTTTCTTATTTACATTGTAATTTTATTTCGATTTTTTACCTATTTTTTTATAATATCACATTATGCACAAATCTTCAAAATGTGATATTATCAAAAATGTCATACCTTGTTTATATCACACTTTATGGTGAAATGGAGAGTGTGATATTATCAACGTTAAAATGTACTCCTAAACATGTGAAAATTTATATTTATAGTTACTTTTAATTCCAGGTGAAGAGATAGCAGAACTCTTTCGTTATTGCTCTGCTTGGATACTCTTATTACTTCAATGAACTTTGCTGATGATTCAAACCGAAACATTTGTCACACATCTAGTAATATGGACAACTATCTTCTTAAAAACTCCATTATCAATGCTAAAACTCATAGTATCTAAAAACACCACATTTCTCCAAATTTACCTTAAAATCTATAATCGAATATAAATCCATGTTAACTCTCTTCGACTTCAGGATTAAAACGTCTCCCTTATTAATATAAAATACTGAAGGATATTCAAGAGTAGATTATTTTCGCTTCTCTTGCAAATTCCACAAAGTAAATTGACGAGCTGCAATGTTGGATTCCTGGAAGAATGCAGACATAGATCCGTTGTTACACTTGCGATAGAAAAAATATTCTAGAATAGATTGTGAAATTGAGTAGAAAAAACGTGATCCACCGGTTCCTTCTTTCGCAGCACACGAAACTTAACGTTGTTTCAGATCTCCAAAGTTCAGATTCAACTATGATTCGTAGTTGAGTAAACAGTATTTGATACTCCTTCTCTTGGAGATGGAAGAGGAGTCATACGGTTAAGAGCAATCTACTCTTGAAGATGAGGAGGACGATTTAGTATCCTCACTGAGTAGAGGGATAAGTATGAATTTGTTGTCCATTTTTATCTATACGTACATTCCACAATACTTTCAGCCGACTTAAATGTTTCATGGAATGTATTTTAACAGACTTGCTGTTATCCAGGTTTAAGTCAAAAATTTATGTTGCCATATAAACATGGTGTTAATTTTTAGTACTCATCAGCTCTATTATTTTCAGGTGATACAATCCCTCAAGAACGCATCTGAAACCTCTTTCAAGCATTGCTGCCATAAAGAATCCAGGGGCACAAACTGATGAGCAAGGAGAGCATTCAATGCAAAACTGATAATTCTTGGAATGCACCACGTAACATTCGACTATAAAGCACACTCAGACCACATTGTAATGGATTTTGCTTTATGTTTAGAATTTTTAGCTTCTCATCGTCATACATAACAACGTTCTCATAGCAGCTATCGATTATTTCTTTTTGTTTTGTGGAAGTCGTTGTACCACAACCTGCAAGCATGTGACAAAAGAAGTTCAGTGACTTAAATTAGACGAGCAACCATGAGAAGTTGATGAATTTTGAGCTCATTCACTGATAAAAGGAAGCAATGAGAGCAGACGCACGAATTGATCAAAGCACCAAATGAATGGACTCAATATGCTTCAGTACATTGCATTCCATACTAACTCTATTCTGCTCATATAGTTAAAAAACAAAAGGATTCTTTTATGCAATGTACCTTCCCACTGTTGGATTTGTCACCGATGATAGTTTGGCATGCGAGACGCCAGCTCTCAGGTTTCTGTCAAATCATCATCAGTCAAGACGTTTTAGAAATCAAAGTCATCCCTGAGATTAGTTCTCAGCCATTATGCCATCAACAACGATCTACATGTAATGCATCTTCTACAGCATTCTCCCGGGTACTCAGCTGTTATACGCCAAACCATACCCTCAGAGTTATAACATCCCCAAAGAAATTTGACTTCTAACTGAAATGGGCCAGTAACAAAACCACATCAACAACTTCCTAAGAACTGACGCTTGATAGGAAGTCTAGCATCAGCCAAATGTACTAACGGGTTTTCACAGAGATCTTTGCTATGACACATGCCTCCAGATGATCGGATTATTGGCCTGCACTTGACACAGATGACTGTGACAGACGTATAACAGACACTTTTGGCGAAACTTTTCGAGGCTTCAATGCCTAAATCTAGCATATCGAACTGACCTTCTTCAGGTACTTGTACTCCGCGTCTGTTCGCTCGCTCAGTAACTCCTGTCCCTCCAGAATCTGTTGCATAAATTCGAATGATAAGTTCTAAATAGATCTTGTGTGTCTCCAAGCGTGCATTCCGTAACCTCCGACTTACCCTTCAGCTCAATAAAGTCATGTTGGGAGAATTTCACATATGTTCGACCGCGATTGGTTTAGCAATAGCTAGCAAACGTATCAGGGCACTGGGACTGAAGCTCCCTGACCATAAGATAACTTAACATGGGATAAACAAACGACAAAATCAGCCGAGAGTTGTATCATACGTCTACTAAACACGTGCCACAACTGCCGCCTCCTCCACAGTTCATCACCTTTCCCTGCAAAATCCAGCAGCAATTATTATTTTCCAAGTTTCGCGTCCTGTGACATATGCCATCTGATTCAACTTTCTCAATATACTGCTCTATGGGTGCAGCTCGAGTCTGCGATATCCAAATTCATTCTTGAACTTTCGCGTCTTCAAAAATCCCATCCGTATTGAGAGATTGAAACATAATCTGCAGGAGTTGAAAGTGCCGTGGCCCAGGAGCATCATTGTAAACGAAAATGATTATGCTATGCTAACAGACCCTCGTTGAGGATGATATCAACTGAAGAGTTTCTGTATGCAAATGCTCAATCAGAAATTATTCCGGAGATGAGTAACAGTATACCACAAGCTCAGTGAGCTTTGTTAGGACTTACATATAGTGCATAAAGCTCCAACTTGTTCTCAGTCATGAATTTCCTCATATTCTTTTCTCCACTTTGAACTGTAAGTGTCTGAGCCACAGAACCTGCTTCCGGCTGCCCACACAAACCAAACGGAAGCACAATGTCAAATTTCGGAAGGAAAAGCAAACGAAAACTGCTCACAGTAGACTATATTACCCAGAGTGCTACTATGTGAGGCGAATTCAGCATGAAGCATCAAAAATTTCTGAAATGCTGGACGCTTAAGAGCTTCTACAGTTATTGATTTGATGAGAGAATTCTAAGTTCAAATTTCGGCTTTACTCAAAATTAACGATCGACAAAGAGACCTCATGTGGGATGTCACGACCAGAATCCGTCAGCTGACAACCGACAGATTTATTACGAGCAAAACAAGAGTTCAGATGCAGAGAAAAAAATGGATTTCACTCACCCCGTAAAACTGAAGCTCGATCATGGGAGGCCCCTGCTGTTCGGGGTTCTCCGAAGAGGAAGTGCTCGCAGTTTCAGTATCGAGAGCAGCGACCAGAGACGTCATTCGCTGCGGTCTCCTCCATACTCGCTCGTCAGTGCGCCCCGAACATGCCCGATCAGATTTAAGCGGGAGGGGAGATTTTGAGACGCAGATGAAGGACCCCGGGTGCCGCACAAGAACCAGGCTGTCCATAATTCCCGCGCCCCTGCTCGCTTCTATGACAACAACAACGACGACGAACGACGAAGAAACAGAAACAAACTCGTCCCCTCACGACCACCGCGCATCAAATGCAAAATCGGAGCGATCTCGATCCCGAGTGTACGATTCTGTCGCGAAAAGAGCTTCGTGAGACGTGCCTTCGCGTTGGCAGCACGCGTTCCAAGCACACGGCGCCATCAACTCCTGGTCCAAATTCCGGGACCGCCCGGCTCCGCGACGCGAGCTGCATCGCACCCCGGCAAAGCTCAGCCACAAGCTCTCTCTCTCTCGTTGCCCTCTGGCAGCGCCGGAACATGTTCCTTCGGAAGTCGATCGACACCCGAACTCTTGTGGCTGGCTGAGAACTCCTCCGCCAGATTTGGCGGTGCACTTCGATAAGTGCCAGCCAAAGTGGTACTTTTCCTGAAAAACACTGCTCCGTAGAATTGCCACGTCATTTGTGAATCTCGGAATTAGCACTGTTTGACTATATTTTGCTTTAACATTTTGAGTCCAACAATTCTTGAAGTGAGAGGTTAGTTATCATTCCGTTTACATTAATTAGCTTTCACTCTATATACATAACTCTACTATATAGAGTTATGTGATTGGTCGATACCATTCAAAGATAATATCGGACGTGAAATCTGATATATTAGTATAGGGGAAAATAATGCATAACATGGGAACATTAGATTAGTTAGCTTAAACTTAATGATAACTAACCCTAAATTTTTTTAAATGTTATATGATATAAAAAATAAATTTGTAAACATATTATGATTATGATTTTTTCAGCCTATTCCATTATTTTCTTTACGGTTTTTTACGAATTTTTTTTTTCAAACTTGTACGGATTGATCTTCCAAACGAATTTCACTCCATTTGACCCCCTTCCCTCTATGATACATAATAAATATTCCTATTTATTATGTACATGGGCAATAACAAATACATCGTAATACAAAGACTAAGTTATACAATCGGTTTAAGGATTGTATGTTGAGGTTAGCTGCACAACCAAAGTGCTTCATCTTATACGACAGTGCCAATAAATTCGTTGTGAGAATTGTGGTTGTTTAGTTTGAAAATTTGTACAAAGAAAATGGACAACGAAAGATATGATAAGAATCTATTAATCAAGTGAGCACCTGGTGTCTCGCTCCTAATCACGCATTCTATTGATCAACTAGATCTAGATTCATGATCCTCATCAAAATTATGCCTGGGCTTTCTGAATTGACGGAGATTTTCTCAACCAGCCACTAGGACTTGCTTTCAACCTATCTTAACATATTTTTCATGGTAGTGTGATCCTCGATGTAATGATTATAATTTGATTCTATGTCACTCACGATAATTTATCAAACGAGTACCATATACATTCATAGCATTAATTGAACTAAGAGAAATACGTACGCATTACTATCGTTATAAAAATTTTATCATGAGAGATATTCGATTTTTCTTCTTGTTATTTCTGGCCTACTTTGGTTTTGCTTCGTACCGGAGGAAAAATAGTTCATCGCGTTTTTCCTCATGCGTCTCCCATTTACTTACAGAAACTTCTATATCATTTGACTTGAACCACTCTAAGTGCCCACCTATCTCCACCCTGGCAATTGTGGAGGTGAGACTTTATTATGTGCACGCTGATGTGGCTGATCAAAGTTGTCCACCATGGACATCTTTGATGTAGTGGTGTCTCACGTTCGTTGGGGCTCCACGTTGGCTCATGGTTGCTCTTCAATTTGAGTAGGGTACCAAGTGGCACACACAAGACTCGAGTGAAAATCCATGGACTCTAGTGAGGGCACAAGATATCGGGAAGATTTGACTTCGAAGTTTTGAGATATTATAACCATAAATAAAGCAGGAATTACCATCCCAGCCATTATATTTGAGACAACCCATTTAATAGCTCAAAGCTTGGTCTTAGCTGCCAAAATCTAAAGGATTTATATTCATGGTTTTACACTTTCTAATCTGAAATCTCTATCTCTTTTAAGTCAGTCCTACATTTCAGTTTTCATTGATCTCAATTACATATTTTTTTAAAGACATTCAACAAAAAATCCTTCAGATATGCATTGGCCACAACTTTTGGTTGTTAGTCGCCAGGTTTGACCTTCCATACTCCCTTCTGAATGCATACATTTGTTCTTACAATACATTGGAGCTTTATTCTTATTGTTGCATTGCAATATCACGAGTCCCATTAAATATAAAAATGTAAACCATAATTATTTACACAATAAGCTAGACAGATGGATATCATAGTCATAGAGTAAGATAGAACCTAATATATACTCTTGCTAACAGAATGAAAATGTCATCCATGAATCTATTGTTAACTCCAAGGTTAGACGAAAACATCAAACTTGTCATGCATAATACTATACTCGACATTAGAAATTGCGATGACATTCTCATTTCAACCATAACAACACAACATCCGCGTAGCCAAAAAATATTTAAATTATCCAGTTTACTAGATAATCATCCATGCATATTTCTAATAGATGAGCATCCACCATGTAAACAATACAAAACTCGTATAAACCAAATATACACGTTTCTCAACCATGACTGAATGGGACTAAAATCAGCATGATTGCGAAGGATATATCTTCATACGCACCATTAGAGATAGATGTCATCCATATTGTAGTCACTCCAACTGGTCAACCATGTAAAGATTTACTGCATCTAAAGTGATACCAGGTTTACTACCAAGACAAATCTGAATCTGGTTGCGGTGAAAAGAGTCATTTCATGGCTCTTCGTTTCGTGAGGTTCGTCTTCTCTCGTCCAGCGTGCGCCGGAAGTGCCGAACGCGCCGGACGCAAAAGTCGGCAGCCGGGATGATGGACGGAATGTGCGTCAGGTGCCGAAGGCGATGGCGGCCTTGTACACTGAAGGCAGGAGAGTTGCAGAAGCTCGCATTTGAGATCTTGGCCTGTGATCAGCTCGGACTGGCATGGCATGGCATGGCTGGTACGTCCTCGAAGCACGTCAGATGGCAGCAGCCGAGAGTTCCGATGCGCGCAGGTGATGACGAATTCGGGGCCGCACTGGTGAATTTGGAATTCTGAATCCGAGAAATGAAGGCGAGCATGAAGAACCAGAATCCTTTCACCCTTCGCGTCGGCCAGATCTTGACTGGCTTCGGAGCCGGTTGTGGCGTCGGGGTGGGCGTGGGCTACCCGATTGCTGTAGGTGCGCAGAACAGCATATCCTTTTTTTCCGTTTGAACCGTCTGTACCTTCGCATATCGCTCTAAACTGGACGCTTGTTCCAACTAGATGCTGAATTTCGTCGGAAGATTCAAAACTGGATGATTTGAGCTAGAATTTGGCAGCACTGGCTGGAGGCTGGAGCTCGTTCTACTGATGCTGCGCAGTGCGTTTGAGTCCATGAAATACTTTTAACAGAAATTGGATCATTTCTTGCTTGGTGGGTCCGAATCTCGTATGTATAGAAAGAAATGAATTGGAGTTTTTTTTTTTTTAAAGGAATGAATCTACTTCTGAACATTATGTGATCAGAATTATTACCTATCATAAGACTCATCGGCCTCTTGAGCTAAGCTTCCCATCAAATTTGAATTTCCTCCCCTCTTCCGTGTCTTCAGTTTCCAACATGGTTTGAGTACAATGTCAAAATTAGTACGAACCAGGAGTATTTGAGATAGAGTAGAGCATTTTTGTTCCAATAATAAGCCTCAGTAGGCTGCTTTGGAAAGTTGGTCTGTTGTAGGCAGTAACGAGAAGATCGTCGTAGGACTTCTGAATCGGCCATGCAGCATGTTTGCGATGTATCTGTTCTTAAAGTGCTCTGCAATGCTGCCCTAGCTTAAACCCTGTGAAAGTCGTAATTATTGTACTCAAGAAATTCGTGGTACACTGAAGGAGAGGGCAATGACTTAACAGTTTGTTGCATGTGCGTGTTCGTGCAGGTTCCATACCAGTTTTGGGGGATGTGATGAGGCCGCTTACTAGTGCAGGTTCTCAGGCTTTTGGTGGCGTCAGCTACCAAGCTTTCGCCATGGTATGCAGACTCAAACCTTTGCAAGGTTTCAAGAAACTTTAGTATCAAGTGGAAGTCATTTGAAGATGCTTGCAGAATCCCCTGGCGATGTATATTTGACGCTTCTTTACGTAGGATCCATATTTTGTGACTTGTTTCTCTTCTCCAGTCCCGTTTTGTTTTGTCTGGCTATAGCTAAGCGGGTGAATGCTCGATAAGGATCAGAACGCGGAAGTAACAAGAGTTTCTCATCTCTGTACAGTTGAAGAAACTCGGGATCAAAAATCTTCAAGCTGGTATCGGTTGTGGAATAGGCATTGGCCACGGATTCGGGGCCGGTAAGCCCCGTACTTCCCAGCAGAGAGATGACTCCAACTTATTGTTTCTTTTTCTCTTTTCTTTTGGTTTCTGCTATTGTCTATTGTTTCCAACGTCCAGTGAAGCAGCACCTGTCTTCTAAGCCCCCATTTCGCTCGTGGGTCATTCAACCCTTCCCAAAACTTCAGCGATGAACTCGTGGCGCTTAAGACTGCCAATCATCGTTGCTGTAATTCCTGAGATATTACGTAGCGGATAGGAGCACCGGGCCGTAGTTTATCGCATTGCTCGACATGAATACAGCAGCTTGACGTGAGACTCGGTGGCCCCACGTGATGTGTAGGTTAAGTACTGACAACATGGGTCTCACATCGTGTGGTAGGCCTGGCGCTGAAACCCGGTGTCGTGCAGCAACTTACCCATACTATACAGGTCTGTCGCTATCCTCTTTCCTTTTTATTATATCGTAGGGAGAAACTTTGGGCAGCATTTGTTCCGAGTTTGCTTGGGAATCCTGATCGTTACGAACGGAAGGAAGATCTCAAATTTAAGGAGCTACTTTTTTAACTCCTCATTTGACTTCTGAGCTTCCATGAGAGTTACTTAGGAAAGTGGAGTGAGACATCAGGAGTTTAGTCACCTCCCCTATCGCCATTCATCTTTTGCTTATAGTTTTTAGTTTGTATCCATCTTTATTGGTCGCATGATTGTAACTCATTACTGTAAGTTGCCACCCCACTTGCGGGCCATTTCTCTCGGTGATGGCCAGCTTCTGTTAATGAAGAGATCTTGTCAACTATACTAAACATTTTCGTGCTCGGTATGCACGTTATTCACTACTGTCAATTTTTCGTACAGGAAAAGCTTACTGGACTGACGAGTGAACTCCAGAAGAAACTGCCTTCTCCTCAAGTGGAGATTCAGAGCAGCTCTGTAACGATGCAGCCCTCCAACATTCCGGACGATATCGTCGTACCAACCAAACTTGCTGAAGCTCCTTCGGTGCAAGTAGCTCCGGCTATGGCAATTGCAACGGGCTATGTTCCAAGCGAGCCTTCTCCACCTTCTGTGACCACCCAAGCTGTCCATTCAAATCCTCAGGGAAATACCGCGGAGGTAAGGATTTTCTAACCATTATTCCTTTCTTCATGCCAATCACTTATGTTTTTTCTCCTCTGTTACTAGGAGTACCTGCCTGTTACTATTAGGGATTCGGGCTGTGATATTCCAAATACTGATTATTTACATGTATGAGCTACAACACTTCCTACAGACATTAAACTGGATATATCTCGGAAGTTCATGATCATGAAGTTGTACGTTTTGGCATTGTGTCTATGCCAACATTCCAGCCAAAGCATTTGGTCATGAACATTGTACCTGTCATCGTGATCATCTTCCCGTTCAGGCCCCTGTTTTGCTGCAGGACAGAAGAAATTAGTGGACGTATCTCTCATCTCTCCGAGTCTTTTACTCATAAGACTTGTTCTCATTCCAAGAGGAACTGCACTGCTTATAGGCTAATCTGAACAACCAGTTGAATGCTTCTTGTCGTCTGTCAACAACGTCCATCTATCATTCTTTTAGTGAGCTTGAAACAACAATCCATTAGTTGTTTTCCGTTTGGCTTCTTACTATTCCCGAGTAATAAATCCTGAATATTTCATTTATGGAAGTGGATCAGTGCTGACTTTTATGAAAGAGCAGTCCTCCGGAAGTAAGCCATGTTGCTCATCACGAAAGTAAGCTCACTCCTGGTGCATAATCCACAACGTGCTTGTTTCACATATGTTTGTATGTTCTCTACTCTTCTCACAGTCGAACTCTTCTTCACATTGCAGGAAGATCTCCGCCAAGAAAATCAAATTCTACGCACGGTAAATATTAAATCTTCTTTCACCCTCTGGTTTGCTCGTACGTTGTGGATTAATAAACATGATCGCGTCCTGCTTGCAGCATCTGGTACATCTCTATCACTTGAGTTTGATCCTAGAGGTCAGTTTGTTCTGTATATCTAAGCTGAACCACAGGCATGATCAAGAGAACATCCAGGTCATTGTTTAGTACATGAGCTGTGTATGAAACTGACAAGGGTTGCATTTGTTTCGTTACTCGCAAATGTGCAGCTCCTCCGACATCAAGAACTTCTCGAGGACCTGAGGGAAGAAAACTCCACCCTCCGACAAATTTTGAATGAGCAGATTGACCTGCAGGCATGTAGGAATCGGGTGGATGGACAGAGTTTAATCTACGCTGGTAGAAAGTATAGGGGAGATCCAATGTGTAGCACATCGAGAAGCTATGCAGACAACTCTTGTAAGGACTGCTTTGACTGTCGGAGACAGTCTAGAAGAAGGCGACGTCTATAATTAACGTTAAATCAGAAAATTTTGATCGCACAAGGTTGATACTTGGTAGCTCCCATTCAAAAAGATTTTGTCAAAATGACCGAATCAAAAATCGTTGCTTTTCTTAACATTTTCGCACCATTATGTGAAGCATAAGCTCGACCGGCATCACCTTGATCTAGATTTTTCGAGAACATGGATCAGTGGTATGCACTTGAATGTGGTAATTTCTTCTGACAATCGACCAATTTTGCATGCTCTATCTGAAGAAAATTGCGGCTGGATGATATGGAAGGACCCTTTTTCTCGTTCATCGTTCCAACTCAATTTTAAAAAATGTTGAAACTTTATTGCGGAAAATTGTATACGTGGGCCCTTAACTGAAAGGGCGATTTGTAGAGGAAGGGCGGTCGTAAACACAATAGTTGACCAGCCCTTTTGAGCAGGCCTCAAAGTTGTTGCTTAAACCCAAGGGTGTGGACAGCTCTGCACCGTACAGTAAAAGTGGAGAGGTGGTCTGCTGTAGTTATCGAGATGGAATGAGTAGAATATTCTGCTTGGGTAGAATGAGATTCCGACACAGCGAAATTCAGCACGACCGGTTGATTCACATAACGTGCGCGAGTAATTCGGAAATGTGCGTGGGTAATCAATGCAGATACACAGCAACTTTTCAATGTATTAATAACGGTTTTAATATTGATTTGTGTGTCTGATCACTGCAAATACGAAGCAGCAATAATGCGTCAGCTTTGGGTTCAAGCCATGAACGTTCAGTTCAGCTTGGCACGTGCCGCTGGTAACTTCGCTTGAGTGCAATAAGGAAGATTGCAAAGGGCTGCGCACCGAGTGTCTTTTCACTCTGTCAATTAAGGAGAGGAAGTCTCAGGGGTTTGAATGTCCTTCAATCGTAGTAGTTCAAATGACAATTTTGCTTCGCGGCTTACTGCAGTCCGTGAGTCCACAGCCAGACACAATCGAGGAATTATGCAATAGTGCATTTGGCTTGGAACTGCCAGCGTCAGTATTTCAACGAGGAAAGCACTTTCCTCTTGATAACATCTACGTTTTCTTTTAAGTCTCAGACATGTGTGTCATGTACAATCACTTACGCATGTCTGGACGAAGTAACGACCAAAAATATAGAAATTTTTTTATTGGATTACCTCTTGCACAGCAGTACTCTTGGTACTTCATTACAGTTATCAAATTGGCCATTCACCTGTCAACCCGGAGTGACGCATGAACCAAGAGGTGACGATCCTGGAGTGTTGATGATCGACAGACTGTCGGTACAAAATTGACATTCAAACATTGTCAAGAATGTAACGAATGATTGACGAATTCGTAAATCATTCGTTGAGACTAGAAGAATGATCGACACAGGCAAACACGCTAATTTTAATCTCAAGGAAGGCTTTGCGAGCAAGCTCCACGACAGAGGCCAAGAGGCGTTGCAATCTACAAAGCATGCACATAGCACTGAAATTCCAGCATCGGAAACAAGTCATAATGTTTTTCATGCTGGATGTAGGTTTAATCATAAACTGCTGGCTGTTGACTACAAGCAAAAACCCAAAGCACATGGACTCCACAGCTTATGTCTCTTCATATGCAGCTGATAAACGCAGTGATTGACGTTTGAGAGTGGAGGAAATAATGCCGTCTTTACTGACAAGAACGAAGCAAAAAGAGTTCACAAGAATCAACGGGAAGTTGATATTTTGCCGAGAAAAGCTTCGAATCTGAATGAAACTCTAACCTTAGAAACCTGATCATTCTCTCTGGACAACAGTTTTCGTCTATGCTTGTCTCTGTCCTCGTCTGATAATCAATTTCTTCTCAACGAGATGCAATTAAGCTGATGGAGAGGGAAACTGTGCATCCCACGAGACCGAAGTAGAACAGAAAGTGTGATCCACTGCAAAAAAGGCAACACAGCCACGTTAATTGCCATCAAGAGTAACTATTCAGAGCATGTTCATGGAGCATATTCCGCAATTCTATTATGCTACACACATCCTTGGGACAAATCCCTACAAACGGAGAGCCAACAGAGATTGAGAAGCAATTAATCGAAATAACCGACGACAACATACCCAAGTTTCATCCTGTTCGATGGGACGCCAGTGGAGTATCCCTTAAAGTAAAAATAACGAGCAACGATATATCCAAATCCTAGGCCCGCGGCAAGTAGAGGGTGCTGGAATCATCGTACAAACCGAGCAGGTTAGTTAAAAATACTTCTACCGACTCAAGTACTCAGAAAGAAGAACTTCCTACGGTCGATAATGACGTTCGTGAAACCCATGGTCTACATACTACATAAAATATCATCGGGCAATCTTGGTGCACAAAACAAGTTCCTGGAGACAACTCTGTGTAGACAAAAGGGTGTGGTGCGACCTTCTCGTGCACATGGTCAAGATCTATTACATTTATTTTAATATACAAGAATCCGTGGCGCGACACCGCAGCTTCACAAAACATTTAAGATGATATAATCCAAGAGTACAAACTTAAGGAAGCATTCGTACCTTGAGTCCACCGAGAAGCAGATTTGCCAAGAAGAAAGGCAAAAACTCCAAGAAGTTCTGGTGGCCCCTCTGTAGAGAAAAAATAAAAACAAATGAGAATTGGCAGGAAGTCCAAGCAGACCAGCAGTGTTGTTTCTTTGTTTGCAGGTCAGTGTATGACATCAAACACTCGAATTTTACACACCATGACTCTGAACCATGGCCTCAAAACCCACAGACCTTGCATGCAAAACAACTTATTTGAACAATTTAAACTTTGAAATCCCCGAGCACTGATGTCAGACAACTTTTACAACTGCCATATCTTACAAATATAATCCACAGCTGGACCAGAAATGTACCTGAACGCAGTTGAACATCTTGGCTTCCTTATTCTCAGATTCGACGGCATACAAAGCGGGGTAAGGGACGTTGTATCTGTCAGAGCAATCGAGGCCACAAGCTTCGTCAATCCTTCAGTCTTCCAGACTCCTAGGATTTTGGAATTCCCAAAGTACCTGGGACTTAGAGAAAGAGAATCACCACTATAGGGCGACCCTTCTGGAAGAACTCTCTAAAGTCAATTGTGATCGATCCCAGGTGATGGATCTCCAACCGATGGGCACAGCTCGGGTACATGTCAGTGGATAGTGGCAACACAAGATTAAGACAGAACATCCTAAACCGATCATCAATGACTGTAGTTCTAGCATCACAGACGAAGGAATCATGTGCCAATAGCAGGGCTCCCGGGAGTTTTAATAGTTGGTTCGGAACGCCCTCAGATCGACCGGGACACCTCGGCAGCTAGAGTGTTTTTTTAATCCGGTCATTATCAGAAAGAAGTCAAAGCTTCTCCCGATAAAAGAGTGATGACCAACAGCTACCTCGGAACAATTTCAACACACGCGAAACCCAGATCCTTGACCTACAAAAATGATGAGAACACCTACTTTTTACGGGCCTTGACGACAGAGACGCTCATCCACATGTTGAACACCAGGGTGAGGACACAAATGAGAGCCACGAAGCCATAGTCGCCACTGATCTCGAAGGCCATGTTGTCCGATCTGTTCACAAACCTAGATCAATTTTCTTCCGATCCTGTCGAGCACACCGTCAGCTGCGAGACCTGTAGAGAGCGTCGAGGCGAGGATATGTGCACGGCAGAAAGGGGGAACGATTTGAATGGAACGACGAAGAACCTCAAGCTATATACAGATCTGGCGTGACAATGAAGGGCAGGTTCGCCTAATCCCAGAACGCAGGAAGATGCGGACAATGGAAGCAGCGGGAGAAGCACCCCTCGACACTAAACCCTGAATCCTAGATTCCGGCGACCGTTGGGCACATACAAACTTGCCGGCCACGTTGATATTATTAACCTCGGCTGCTTCCGACCCCTGGGACGGTGGTGGCCGATATGTCGTAACCCTCCACTTTTCCCCCTGCCTTCTGTTGACAACACTACAGTTCTGGATGTTACTTTCACCACCTCCCATGTTTTTACCTTTACCAGCGAAAAATTGCTCGGAAGAGTAAACAAGCTGCGCTACCTTCGGAACTCTCTGGAGCAGTCAACCCCTTGCCTCAAAGTCGCTCTTAATATTCGCATCACTGCAAGCTGCTCCTAGAAAATCAACAAACTACTTGTCTTATTACAAAGTGAGGGGTTGACGTTGTTGGACGTAGTTCTAAACTCTTCCTTGATGAAGAGATGGTTTCTAGACTCTTCTTTCTTCGATATGGATGGGAGCTTCATGAGCACGGCAATGGATTTTTTCATCGATATATAGATGGACTTCATTTTGTAACGACGAGAGTTGGTCATATAGTTCATGGGGATGGATCGGGAGACATGTTTGAGAAGGAATGTTGTTGCTGAACACATCCTTGAAGATGTGGCTTCACCAGGCCTTCTCTCTCTCTTTTGAAAGATGAAATCGGGTCCAGTCATCGCACTTTTCGTGTTGTTTGATTTCCGGAGGCTCATTGCAGTTGCTTGCGAATTTACTGTGCAGATTTCACAACGTCCCCAACTGCTGCATGCGTCGTAATGTCCCACAACTTGCGAGCTCCTTGTCAAAAATAATCCGGTCTCTTGTTAGATCTGCGAAGCGGACAGACCCTGAAAGACCGGTGTCCATTACGAGTGGAGCTGGGCGGCTGTAGTCCTGACGTCAAATGCAACGTCCTGGCTACGGGTGGCAGATCTTCTTCCTCTGGAAACAAGCGAACGTACCATTCCAACAGTTGAGATTCTTCAACTTATTGGAAGGCAGTCATTGAGGATTTTGCACTCGTTCCGCAAATCACTGATTGCCTTTCCCTGGATTTCTTCCGGCTTCTTGACTTTGCTTTGACATCAGCTGAAATGGCCTGAGGAAGGGAGGCGGCTCAACAAGCCAGTGGCATCTTCCACTGTTGAGGAATCTAACATCCGGCTTCGTGAATCACTACGTGCTGCGCACAGAAGCTTCAAAATTTCGGTCAAAGTGTACTACACCTCATGTTCTCATGTGTTGTCCAGATTAGACCCGGTGGCTTTGTGTGAAGAGTATGCAGAGGTCTTTCTCCAGGATTTGGTAATGTGTTCATAAGACTGCAACCCTACGCTGGCTCTATTTAATGAAATAAAGCATTGGCTTAGATTATAATGGTTTCACTGATTTTTCCCACTTCGGCATTTTCGTCAGAGTCCTCTGCTTCTTATACAGGCCGTGTCACGTTGCTTGTTGGGTTTCGATGACATAACCCAACTGGGCGAGGAAGGAGAAAGTACGGTTTTACTGGTCGAAGAGCTGGGTAGATAAGAAAGTGGACTCCTAAAATATGTGAGAGCACCATGATGACCACAAACCTCACCAGTCTTGGAATAATGGCAAGTTTCGGCCTCTTTTTGACTCTAAAACATCTACAGAATGGGCCTTCCTCAATCCTGCAATTTCGACATAGTTCACTTCCCTCAAAAGTTGGGTAATAATCCATATCATTAGTAGTTTCCACTGTCTTCACTGTATCGTGTCACCATCTTCGTTCCCGCTGTTCTACGTGTATAACATCTTCTAACCATCAAAGCATCTGCAATGGTAACTCTTGCTCCCAGAAAGCAGAAAGACAACCCACTCTATTTTCTGTGTGTTGATCCCTGTAGAGAGCTCAATGCAGAAGCCGATCATTAGTTTTACGAGTAAACATTTCAAGCGTGTAGTGCTTTCAAGCGATATACAATCTTCAGACTCATGATGCTTGAAAACGAAGTTGATTATCCTACTGGCCTAAAGGGCTCAACCCGTTTCTCAATGTGTGCCAACAACGTCACTATAATCACCTCCACATTACTACTGACACGATACTTCTTCCATACAGAAAGTATCTTGCTCGGGTACTGCTCTGCCTTCAACAGGAAGATTAATACCAACAGTGTTCACTGAGAACGACAAGATATAAGTCGATTATAAACCGAAGGCAGGAGTTTATACACAAAGAAGAGCGGATGAAACCACCAGCTGATACCCGTCTATATATGCAGGTAGAGAAGTCTGCTTCTTCTCTAGGCTTCTTCTCTACAACTAACAACTTTGAACCTAATCTGAGGACCCTTCGTACCTCTCTTTCTTCTACCTATCTGCACCGTCCACTCAGGTCAAAGGGTCAGCTGGTCTGGAAAAGGCTCCCTGTCATCTGAGATGTTCCATGTCCATCTTCATTCCTACATATCTCGAACTCAACATGCTACTGACAGATATAAAACACCTCCGAAGTAGTCTTAACTGGTCACTCCGATACCCTGTCGTCCGAGACTCCACAGGTAACTTGGAAAAATGCAGTTTCAAGTGTGCCATACGGTCCACAAGTCTTCTCTGCTGTCAAAATGCAAGCGGACGGGCCTGATCCGTGCTCTGATTGCAGACAGGTTGCAACGTAACTGCTGAGGACGCTCTGGGCTTGAAGCAGGCCCACGAGCTTTCAGAAATCTGAAAACTGAGAAAGGATCATTTACACTTGGGGAAAAAGCAAGACCTTATTCGACTGTCTCGTTTCAAGAATGTCATTTGTACTCGTGCCCTGCGTGTTCAGGCCTGTGCGATACCTCGTAGTCCAAATGTACAAAAGCTCGCTCAATTTCCGGCAAAGACTCGAGTTTGTTCTGGAGCGATTCCCCGATATCATGCGCTTGTTGCAACGGCATGTCACCGGGCAACACGATGTCTACCTCGGCAAAATAATGGGATCCAAACGTATACGCCCTCACTGTATCTATCTGACGAATCTCTTTGTGATGATTCCAACACAAGTAAGTCAATTTCTGCAAAAAGTCTGGTGTGGCTGTTTTGCTGACCAAAGAGTTCACATTCTCCAAAACTGTCATCGACCAAGTTCGAATCGTGTACAACGCCAGCTGCATTGTGCGAACATCACAGAAGTTTGTTAACAGACGTGTCACGGTAATTACACGGCACTTTTGTACTTTCCTCCTTACACAAAGACCACTTTGGGGTTTAGGGGTAGGGTAGGGTAGGGTAGGGGTAGAATCATGCGGTGCATTGCGACACAAAAGCAAGTAGGGGTTTGAAATCGAAGAGAGCGTACCACTATAGCGCCAGCAGGGTCAATCCACCAGTAGAAAATGGAAGCCAACAGAGCTGCTATGAGACCGATAACATTGGTTACAACATCAAAAAAGTGATCCAGAGCATATGCTTTGACAATCTCATTGCTGAAAGACTGGCAGTAGAGCGTCAATCCTAGCTTCACCACAGTTGCAAAGAGCATTATGCCCACCACCCAGTCTCTCTTATCCCCGACGAGGTCCAGCGTATTATCCTGCAGAGGCATAGCCACGGTTAAGAAAAATAACGAGAAATATACCTTATCAGTTCGGCGGATGCATTTGCAGGTCTGTATAAATTCAGACAGACTAGTCGGTAACAAGCAAACTGCAGTACTCTGTAAGCTGGAGGTGGGACACGGCATCGATGTATCGTCCAACATTTGTTTTCTTTAGAGCTCCTTATTAGCACCGCCTATTTCTAGAACTAGTTCTGCTTCTAAATTCTGAACCGAATAAATGCAATGGTGATGAAATCCAGACTTCCAACTTCATAAAATCAGATACACCTGGAAAAGATGCACTCTGAATGATCCTTGTTCCTCTCCCAGAATCCATTCCAGCAAGTTATTGTGTAGAAGCTATAACAGAAATTGCTCACTTGACACTGGCAAAATTCTTCATGGGAGTAAAACGCCAAATCAAGCGAAACAAACTTTACCACGACAACGCCACGAAGAGAGAGGATATACAACAGCAGCTCACCTTGGCGATAAGTCGGCTGACAGATTCGTAGATAATTTGCAGTCCCAGAGTGGCCATGACAGAAGCAAACACCAAAATTCCCTGCGACAAATAAACAAGAATCTTAATATACAACAAAAGATTCCGTTCGAGGACAGACCGAAGGCCCAGAGAAACCCATGTCTGCAGACTAATTGCAGAGGAACGCTTACATTAAACATATTAGGATGGCAAGAATTGATAAGCTAACTAGCTGAAGGAGAATCTGCAACTAGCGGAATCAACCTCTATCCCCGATCCATCACAATTTTGATCTATGCCGGAATAGCGCAAATTGGAGGAGAGAGGATGGATCTTCAACTGACCAACGGCTGCATTCGTTTCTTCCCGATGGGGTACAGGTACGGATTGGGTTCTCTCATTGAAACAGCAGTGAACCATAGAATGAACCCCGAGAGAAGATCCAGCAAGGAATCAAGAGTCGAGGCGATGATTGCTAACGATCCACTCCTGATCGATGCGTACACCTTCGCCGCGAATAACAACATGTTGCAAATATTGGAGATCTGAATGGCAAACTTCTCTCCCCTCTTGACATTGGCTCTTTCTTCCTGTAAGAGAACGGGTATGACATCAGATAAGCTCCCGAGGCTCCAATGCATGGCAATTGTGCGCTGCAATCCAATGACAACCTCCACCGGCAGCTACCATGAAACCTGCGAGGCTCAGGAAAACGGACAAGATGATGCTTGCGGAAAGGCGTGAAATTTCATGATGCAGTTTACAAGCTCCTTGTAAAGTGGCTAAATTTCGAAGCCTGACCGCTTTACCTGGTTAGTGGTCGTGGGAAGGTAACCGTGCTCCGTAATACTGTCCATTTCGGTGAACCCTTCGAGCACTTCTTCCTGCTGTTGATAATATTCCTCGATGCCATTTTCGAAACCTGAATTTGATTTCAAGGGAAAGAAGAGAAGCGGGATTTAGCTTAGGACCTTCCTCCACAGATCCTCAACAAGACTCGGTGGCTTTGCCCTTTACAATTGGGGTAAGTGGATGTGAGCATATCAAAGGATGAGAAAAATGAGGAAATTGAGCGACGAAGAGTCGGTCATCGCCTTTCCGTGGGGAAAAAGGGCTCCTGAATGTCAGCGAGAGAATAGTGAAGCTAAGCAATTTCTCATGAATTACGGAGAGCGCGGCGATAAACTTTACGATTTTCCGACATCAGGAGCTGCTGGTGTCAGAGTAACCTCCCAATTCGTCACGGTGCGGAACTATTGAGGTTAATGGTTCAAGCTGTTGGTGGCGGCATGACTCTTCATCACTACAGTGCACCTAGATAATTCTACAGAAAAATTAGCAGACAACGAGACCAAATCCGGAGAAATTGGCCAATGTACAGTGAAATAAAAGAATCGGATAGCTTGATTGCACATGATTGACTCGAACAAGGTGGCCGTCTAAACACAAAATCCTCAACCCAGAGCGCATCTACACAGACGTGACTTCAAAATTGTCATCCAGCGCAACTCGAAAAGAGACTCCTACAATTACTGATCGACGAGGACCTCGGCGGAGAGGAAAGACAGACAGAAGCGACAAACCACAATGCGCGAACACGCACCGAGCACTTTGAGACATCTATCCATCTGCCCCTTCATGGACTTGGGCGAATCCAATGTCGTTTGCTTCTGACGGAAATTGCTCGCCTGCAGACGCCATGTCATCTCGCCTGTCTCCCTCTCCGTGTTCCACAGCAAAGAATCAGTAACCCTCTCCGGAAGTTCCCTGAGTTCTTGCATTTCCATTTCGTACGCCCTCCCTCTCTTTCTCTCTCTCTCTCTCTCTCTGACTTTCGCTCTTTCTCTCGTCTATGTCTCTCTCTCTCACTCTCCGACTGCCTTCCTCAGAGAACACTCCCCCACGAGCTTCCTGCGCAGGAGGAGCACTAGGCCATCGTCCGGACAGCAGCAACGACCTGCGCCGAGCGGGAAGAGGGAAATTCAGGCTCTCGCAGGGACTGGTCGTCGAATGAGGAAGCGCGACAGGCAGCGTCAACGGAAAAGCGGCATCGCTGCAGACTCGTTGGACTCGAGAGCGTCTCCCGCTCGGCCGTCAAGGCGCCTCCGCCCGCATGCTCCACTCGAGGGCTGCAGAAGCGAGACAGCCCGCTGACCTCCGAAGCCCGGCTACGACAGCAGCAACTGAAGCTGAAATTTCACCATCCTCAGGGAGCCGCAGCAGCAGCGGGAGAAGCAGAAGGCACAACATCAACAACAAGAAGGAGGTGGAGGTGGAGGAGGAGCTGCAGCAGAGACGGAAGATCTAGGTCCGGCCTTTCTGCTTTCCTTTTAATCAATGCTCATCATCGCTTGCCTTCGCGCCCCGGATACACCTCCTTGAATCCCAATGAAGCCCCGCCCAGCCCCGCCTCCCCGGCCAACGACCAGCAGTGGCAGCGGCACGAGCACACACACACACACACTCACAAAAAGTCGAGACGGAGATGGCAGATGCGAGAGATGCACAGCACAGAACGGGCGCTGCTCTCCCCGCTAGCTGCCTGCGCCACATGAGGGCCCCGCGCTCCCCGACGCTCCTCTCTCTCCACCCTCTGCTCAGCGCCCAACGTTCTTCCCCGGCCCTCCCTCCCGTCTTCCCAACTCCCTCCACGCGTCGTCACGGAACCGCGGCTGAATACAGCACCGTCCTCACGGAAGCAGGAGGCGGTCGAGGTTTTGTCTCATCTTCGCGAGTTTTCTCAGTCCAGACTATCGCCGCAGACGGGAGGCCTTGACTGAAAGTGGGAAGGCGAAGGAAAATCCGGGCGGCAGCGAGCGGTCAGAACGTTCCCCGTCACCCCATCCTTGGGCGGCCTATCATTCGTTCGCTCGTTCTTCAGGGACCGCACCCTCCAAGCTATTTCTGGAGTAGAGAGCCGGAACCTCCTCGGCATCGACCCCAGAGTTAATTATTATTAGTTTATTTATATAAATTTGTGTGCTGTTTAGCGGCTTCATTCAAATTTAGAGATTTATTTGGGTAGTAGACTTGACAGTTGATGTGATCAGCTGTTTTGGTCATTTCGGTAAGTTTGTTGTGCCCCAATAATTCCAACAGTATTACTCAAATCCTATACATTGCAACTCTTTGTTACTCTAGCGTTTGCGATTATGTAGTCGGACTTCAATATGATAGTGCTATGTTTACGATCATAGTATGCGACATGATTAATATAGTCAAAGTCAAGAATTACCATTGCTCTAAATCTATTATTAGATAATGATATCCTGAAGAGATAATCACATCATGTGATAATATGGTTGTTGGTGTAGCGTTTGAGTTAAATAACTTTGATATTTTTTATGCAATATGAAGTAGTTTCAATTTCGAATGTCATCAAGACATAACTTCACGTAACTTGTTTGATTCCATCTATTTAGCACTTGCTTTATTTTTCTCTCTGATCTCCAGCTTGTATTCTTCTTTCTTGTACTTGCCTATACGAAAAAGAAAAGCTAAAAAATTCAAGCTTCAAATCTTCGAAGGGTGAAAACAAAGAGTTGTGATAGAACTAGGCCTCAATATATTCACATGTAGATGTTGTGAAGTGAAGTTACTAATCTCAAATCAGAGATGTCCACAAATTCTTCGATTCATTAAATATTACAAATACTAGGAAAAATTTTCTCAACAATTTGACACTTTAGAGTTTTTTCCTTCGACATTTGGAATAATCATTTTCAAATAAACCCGATATTTTGAAGATTAGAAAAGACAAAAAAGAAAATCTACATATAATGATAACATATTTAAATTTTTTCAAGGTAATAGCACAAGTGAATTATTACGTAAAATCAAAATTTGAACCAATTGTGTCTTTTAAGTGCTTCAGGAAGATATATCTCTGCAAAAAACTTCAGCAAATTAAAAAACTACTGCTAACAAAACAATATATTCTGCATCATTTTTAATTGACAGAATAGGATATACCTTCATAAATAAATTATAATGCTCTTAATTTAATCACATTTGGCATACACATACTAAGTCACAAATGAACACTACACATCAATATCTAAATTTTCAAGTGTGTTTTATGCCATATGATTTTCCCAGATTATCTTTTTGTTTTTATCCACTTAAGATAATAGGTGTCAAAATTGTTTGATGCTAACTGGGGACGAAGCAGTCACCAAGGCCAAGTTTGATTGATCGGTTAGTTATAACCTTTGTTTATTTATCTATAGCACGACGTGCATAGGAATATTTGATGTTCGCGAGAATTGACTGTCTCATCACCTGGACTCTCTTTGGCTTGCTCCTTTACTTTACTCTTGCAAGTTACCTGGTTCATTAGCAAAAGATTCGGCTTTTGTTTCAGCTAGGATTGCAGCAAAACAAATCTACATCATTGCCTTTTAGTATATATGTCAAGACATCTCATGATGAATACAGCAGCATTCAAAAGTTTAACGCCGCAGTTATTTACAAGCTAAACTGTTTGCACGAGCACATGTTGCAACCCTCTTATTGCACGTTGCAATTCAGAGTTGTATTTTATAATTCCTCGTTGCAAGACAGCAGGAAATAATCAGTTTACTAGGGAACATTGTTAATAAACGAGCAGACATGTGATGAGAGAGAAGAAGAGAGAGAAACATGTGATAACATTCACCTCAACGATATCTCGTCAACAGGTTGTGTTTTCTAGAACTTAAACAAGCTCAGTCACATATTTCGATGTTTACTTATTCTCAGGATCCGAGGTCCTTGTCCGAAATCTTCTAAAGCGATCCTCTTCGGGTTGCCTGGCCGAGGACTCTACAGCGACTGCATCATCCATGTTACGCACAAACAGCTTTTCGTTACATAAGACGTAAGCTTAAGTACTTTGATAGTGTAAACAGATCAACATGGTTCGTAATCAGCAACGTAATTTTGGGTTGTGTGACAAAGATATGAGCTTAAGTGCAGCTTTAGTCATAACAATTATGACACGAAGTCCTATTGCACATGAAAACACTCACTCCCAAATGAGATGATTAGGTGCACGATTAATATCTTTCCCAAATTACCCTGGTGAAGAATTCCTAGGCAAAATGGCCATTGGAGACCCTCAATGGCTAATTTGTTCATAGGATCTTTTGCACGTAACCCTAGTCGTCAAGTTGAGACCTCCCCAATTGCTGCCTCGAAACATAATGAGCCTTTCTGACCATTCGGGGTCTAAAACATTATCCAGATTTGTCTTCGTAATATGAGAGCCACTACTTTCAGATTGATCTTCAGGTTATGTTCCTTATTTCAAAAACCTGTACTCAAACTTGATTTGATTGACTTGGTGGTGAGCTTTGCCTTCCCGAAATCTTTATGCGCATGTGAGCATGTAGAAGGAGAACATTAGTTTAAGTATTCTTTCAATAACCCAGCAACTTCGATTTGAATTGCAACATCCGACTTTGTATGCAAACTGCTACTTCACTCATATTTGCTTTACATCTTAGTCTCGTGTTCAAATTGGTTAAATGTGATAAGAAACTGTTTACCATTACATGCTCATTATTCCATAACTGGTGTGTATTTTTATTATATATATATATATATATATCAATAATCTAAGATGATACATATGTATACATACTTGATCATATTTTTTTGTGATAATGTGATACATCTTTAGAGTGAAGCAGATCGACCAACATAGCCATAAGAACCTGATTGTCGCAAGCGAATGGGCTTTCTATGGGTACCCCCCTTTCACTCATAGACTTTCCACGCAGTACCTCTTTGTACAATCAATATAGAAGTCCCGTGTGGGTAAATTTTATTCTGTAGGATGGTGTAGTTTACACATGTTAAAAGAATTACTTAATAATAAATTATTAAACACTCATTATATGGAAAACGTGCTATCATCCATGACATATTTTTTCTTAATTCGTATCTGTCTTGTACTCTGCTCATACAAAAGATTTTCTCTTAATTTCAGAAAGAATGATTGATATTAATTTGATTGAGAAATTTCAACGATGTACTTGGATAAGATGAAAAAAAGAATTGATGTTGAAAGGTGCACAATATAGAGATCGCGTCTCATCAAATTGCAGTAACACTCCATAAAAATTTAAGTTGGGCTGTCCTTTTTTAAACACATGAAACCTTTTATACTGTAAATAAAGGTTAATATTCTCAGAGTACAATACCTTGATCAAAATATAGACACTAATCAGAAATACTTTAGTAATGTATATGATTGCTTATTTCTAAGATGAGATATTGAAAAACATGTATTTCAGAGTAATGTACACTAAACAACTACAAAACTATAAGACTGATGTACACACTTCTCACATCATTCTCCATTTTTTAATTTTTTAGTGTTTTTTATACCCGTACAAGCATTTGTATGCATGTATATATATATATATATATACAATGTATTTTTAAAATTAAAATTTTTGATGGGTTTCAAATGGTTTTAATCTTATGTTGTTTACATGAAAACCTCAATATTTCAAGCTGTTTGCGTTATATTTTTATAAAACAAAGATCAATGAAGAATTTGAACGGTGAGTAGTTACAAAAGGCTTTTATGATCTAAAATTTGGTAGAGACACTATACTAGAGGAAATTACTTGATGGGACCCCGGGAAACCAAAACACTTATAAGATACAACAGGTTTCATTTATCTTTTGAGACCCCATCGTGCCAGTTATGTTCTAATACTATTTGGGGTTATTCCGAGTAGAACATGAAGTCACGACGAGACCATATCGGGACTAATTCAGACTCATGGTGCCCGTACTTTTCTTAGACATGGTTGCGAACAAGTCGCCAGAATACTTTGGCCCGACAATGGCGTATACTCTCCGCTCTATAGAGCAAATCACTAGGTTATAAGAACATGACTTACGGTGAAATGAAACCTCTTGGGTACTTTCAAGAGTATTGAGTTTCCAAAGGTGCAATCAAATAATTTCTTCCAAGATACTAAAAAGTTAGAAGACATTTGCTTCTACATCTTGATTTTTACGGAGTAACAAAAATTCGAAAACATCGCTGACCAAATAAAAAGCAATATAAGAGTGTACGCGCTGACTTCATCTCTTGATACCTCTTGCAACAGCTGATGTTGCAAATGAAACCAGATCATAAAAGAACTAGTAAAGTAAATTCAATCTTACATTCAATCTCATGTAAAATCGAATTTACATGAGAAATGATTGACAATTTTTTGCATAGAAAATATCAATGGAAATTTGGACTTAAGAGGTGATTGAATAACTGTCATTCACTTCCTGCACACTCAAATTACTGGCTCGTAACTTCGACGTAACCTCTCGAGTACCAGTGATTACTTTCTACAATTGTGAGCGGATTATGTTTGTAAACTTTCCAGCTATCAATTTTTATGAATTTCGTGACAACACTAGGAAACGGAAAAAAATTGTAGAGTAATTCAAAGAAGCATTTCTGGAAAACAAGTAAGAAGTTAAATATGATTTGGTTACTAACAAATACAATCATAATATTGCCCAGATAATCTTTCCATTTATATCCAACCATAATTAGAGAATATATGTTACTCCTGGTTTTCATAACTTGCATGTCGCGTTCA